TAGCGTCATTAATTGAGTTTCTTTGTAAATTTTTTCGGTAGAAGTTAGATAGTGATAATGGAATAATAGTTTGATTATTTTGTTTTGACATGTTTCAATTTGCTTTAGATTTTTTTTAGCCGCAGTACCCTACACCTCTATTAAGTAGTCTAGATGAGGTTTTATCATGGAGTTGTTATATCTCACTGATTTTGGCAGACAGCGAATATTACCTCGAAGTGCACCAATGATAGAAGATAGCTTAGATCTTCATTTATCTGGGTGCGGCTGCCAGGTTAAGTGTTTATATAGGTGGAGTCCAAGATACTTTTCTGTACACTTTGGTTAAGGGTTTATTATTTATGCGGAGAGTTAAGCGATTTTCGTTTTTTTTTTGTTTTTAGCACTGAAAATAATGTAACTAGTTTTAGATGTGTTAACGGAAAGCAAATTTTCTTGGAACCATCTAGAAGAGTGTATCCAAATCCAGCTGTGCTATGATCTGCTCGATGTCCTTGGCAAATAAAAATAAACATGTGTCGTCAGCATATAGTATTATATCACTTGACAGGTTAGGGTTATGCACATCGTTTACGTATATTATGAACAGCAAGGGACCGAGAATAGAGCCTTGTGGTACGCCGCAGGCTAAAGATTCGTGATTACTTTCCATATCACCGATCCTAACAATTTGCGCTCAGAGAGATATGACCGAAACATGTCGTGTGCATTATTCCTGATGCCGATATCATATAGTTTTCGGAGAAGCAGGCTATGGCTAATTGTATCAAATGCCTTTTTCAGATCGATAAATATACCGAGTGCTGCGCGTTTTTCATCAATATTGTTTTTCAACTTTGTCACAAGGTCAATTGTTGCAGTTAGTGTATTAGATTTTGAGCGGAAACCATATTGATTATTTGATAGTTTTAAGATAATTATCTAAGCGTTTACATGATATTTTCTCATTTTCTCGTAAATTTTAGAGATAATTGGGAGAACTGAGATAGGGCGATAATTGCCTGGGTCGGTCTTTTTCCTGATTTAAAAGTTGGACTCACTTTTGCTACTTTAAGAGGATCGGGGAAGAATCCGTTTTGTAAACAATGGTTGATATTCATTGTTAATTTGTTTAATATTAAATTTTTGATGCATTTTATGGTTTTGCAACTAATTCCGTTTAAGCCCGTGCTAGTGTTTGGATTAAGTTTATCTATAATTTTACATAGTTCCTCTTTCGTAGTTGGAGTTAGATAGAGCAGTTCGTATGTACTAGAATTAGCCGTTTGAGAGCTAGGCTGTGTAAAAGGTTTTTCTTTATGCATTTTAATTTTATTTGCTAAAATACAACTTATAGTAGCAAAGAAAGTATTGAGATAATTACATATTTCTTTAACATCTGTAATTGGACCCATTTGTGTATCTAGTTTTATAGGAGTAGAGCACGACTTTGTTTTGTTACCAGCTAAGTTACCGACCAACTTCCACATCTTTAAAGGTTTTCTTTCACAGTTTTTGAAGGCTTTGTATTAGTAGTTATTTTTAGTACTCTGAATTTGCTCAGTTACGGTATTTCGTAGGGCAATAAAGTCTTTTCTTATTGATTCGTCGTTGGGATTTTTTTGTAAATGGACCACAGGTGATTTCTTTTGGTTATCATTTTAATTATGTCTTTATTAATCCAGTCCGATTTAAATGCATTTTGAATTTTGAATTTCGGTATTCTATGTTTATTTACAGCTTCTTTTATTATATTTTCTAGGCTATTGTAGTCATTATCGGATATATTCATTATTGTACTTTCTACTTTAGAGTATATAGTTGTGTAATCTAAGGTATGATACTTTACTCTCTTTTCCGTTTTAGGTTTATAATCGCCAATTTCTAAATATATTTGCTTGTGGTCTGACATTGGCGATTCTGCTATGGTCATATGGAATTTATGATTTTTCAAATTGGATGAGACATGGTCAAGAATTGATTTTTTTGTCGGTGTATCACGGGTACTAAATTTTGCATCAATTTTGTTTAGGATTGTGTGTCCATTTTCTAACAGTATATTTGTATAGTTATTAATTGATTGGTTAGGATTGAGCAGATCGTAGTTAAAATCGCCAAACACTAAAGCTCTTTGCCTCCTTATCAGCTGCTGTGAGTATTCCTCCAAAAACCCATTGTTTTTTTTTGGCTTCAGATTCTGACTTGAACCAGGTTTCAGATAGTATAATTACATGCACAAGACTGTTTATGTTATATTGTATAATGCAGTTTAATTCATCGAGTTTTCCTGACTTCACTATAATTCGTGCATAAGCGTAGAGAAATTTTAAGGATTTAGTTTTTTTTATTAAGTGTATGAATCAGTTTCTTCATGAGTAGTGTTTGGCGATGTGTCGTCTGTATTTTGCATTGTTAGTTTTTTGGCTGGATTTTAGTAATTTTAGATGTACCTTTGACATATTTTATAGCAAGGTTTTTTTCACCTCCATCTAGTCGCCGTCTCAGTTCGTCTCTCAAATTACTTCGATACTTTTGTTGATAGGGTGTCTCATCAGAGTAGATTTTAATATTGTCAGATTTTATGTTGAACCTTTTTCGTAGAATTGATTTTGCTACTTCGGATGTCGAGAATATAACCTTTATAGGTCTGGATTTATCAGGATTATATTTACCTAAACGGATAGTTTTCGTCGGTTCTATGCAATCTGGAACAGCCATTTTTATTATTTTCTTTACTTCTTCGCTATCGTGGACGTTTCTCTCTTCGGAGTTTGAGGATCGTATCTCTTTTATCCCTCGTATGATAACGTTTTTCTCCCACTGAAATCGTTCGTAGGTCTCCGATATTAAATCTTCATAGCTAAACGACAGCTCAGGTATCGCAGAAGTCGATCCAGATTTTAGTGATGCTATTTCATTTTCGATAGTCGACACTTTTTTCTGAATGTTAGCTCTGAAACCTGAGATGCAAGCTAACTCCGATTTTATTTTGACCTGTTCTGAGGACAAAAGATCAGTTATCTTGATCAAGCTGATCTCTTCCTTTATTGCTGAGACATCTTGAGCAATTCTGTGAAGATTTTCAGTTTGGGTTTTAGCCATCCTGAAATCCTTGTGTCCTTTATAAGCGACTCGATTTTAGCTTGAAATTTATCAAATTGTACACTAAAGTCATCATGCGGCTGTTTTCTTCTGGCGCGAAGAGTTATCTGGTTGGTGTTATCAGACAGGGTAATCTTTCGCAAATCTGGTTGTGAACCGCTAGTCTTTTCAAGCTTATTAACACTACTTGTGGTTGCTATCGAATCTCTATTGCCTTCGTTATACATGTTAGGCGACTGCGGTGGCGATCGAACGACACTCATCGTGTGTTATTGTTTTAAATATATATATATATATATATATATATATATATATTACTTATATCTCGCTCGCGCAGAACCACGATGAATGCGAGCCGGATATTAGTAGCCCTTCTCTTTTCCTCGAGGAGAGGAGTAGCAGTTGACGCTCGCCGCTCACTTAAGTATGTTGACATATATCAATAACGACCTAGGTTGCGTAAATGAGTTATTACTAAAAAATAACTTAATATACCCGCATCCTATAAATCTGTATTTCACACCACCGACACCCACATTTACCTATGAAACAACTAATTAATTAATAATACTACCATAATATAGTGCTTATAAGCCGCAGAATGGCTCTACCACTTTTTAAAAACGTTACCAAGTTTAAAAAGTAAAAACGTTAATACACTTCTGTCACCCGTGTCCAAATTTCACACTCTTAATTGGTATCCATTGTGACTTGTACTCACACGTGTGCTCCGCGTGAAAGTCACCAACGAACCGATTGAAATTGCCCTAATTTCGCTACACACGCGGCAGTGGCAGAACATGATCTAGGGAGTAAGGAAGGTCTTGCGTCCGTACAGCCCTGCCACAGGGCAGTCTTAGGATATTGCCCCTGCTTGCATGCACATATCACAATTAAGGAGGCAATTATAAGGGTCATCCCCACTCCTGCATCCCAGATTGCCCCTGCGGCAGGCAAGTGAGTAGTTGCCTTAAACATTGACGTTGAACGACGAGCGAAATTGATTTTTACGGGGCAATTTATTTATATTACAAATACTTTACATCAGATCTAAAATGAATTGGTCAAGTATTGACAGGGTCTTATGTTCTACCAAATCTAAATAAACGTGTTCATTAAATTAGGATACATCAGAATCGACGCTTTTGTTAAGAATAGTGGCTAGTTAAGGTGCAATTATATCTGTTATGGACGCAATAACTTTATCGGAAATCTCATATAAGTCTGCCGTTCTCTTAATATCAATAGTTTTAAAATGTTTAACGATCTTTTTTGACAATATTCTATAAAATTTAAAAGTTTTTGAACAAGCCCTTACATTTTGTTTTAGTAATGAAACATCACCAAGTTTCTAACTCCGGGCTGCTACTGAGAGTTCTTGACGTAAAACTCAATAACTGATATTTGGTCCGATCTGGAATTTGCACCCAGGACTCCATTCTGCATCCTGTTTACTACCATCTGACCAACGAGCCAGTCAATTTCATTTTCCAAAGCTAAGGAACGATGATTTCGACTATTTGAGAACCAACGACCTCCGCTTAATGCACGGGATTGACTTCAATTTGAATTTGTTGGTTTTGGAGAATAAGTTAATACTTATTCCGTGTACAGAACTTACACGCGTCTTTTGAGGCGTTCGGCGTCAGAGATTTTTTGATTCATCTGCATGCACGCTGATGACCATCCATTCAGTACGCATGCAGATGGCAAGCTTCGCACTAGTGTGCGAATATCAGAATTTTCTACATTAATTTCACTGTCCAGCCAGAATCGCTTCGCATCGCAATGAACTAAGATGATATTTTACTTTTGGCTCAGTTTTTCAACTGGATAAACAAAAGAAAGTTATGGCGGCTCCACATTATCGCCGTGAATTCACGGCACAAGTCGTGCCTTCCACATTCACGGGATGCTCACAATCGTTCGTGAAACCCGCCGCGAAACGGACGTAGAAGCTGCTGCTGTAATAATTTTATTTATTTATTATATTTTTTACGTGGTAGAGCCATGCTGCAGTTATATTAGTAGTATAGTTGTAGCACGACTGGGTCGGCTCGACCGGGTAAGAACCACGCTCTCACAGAATACCAGCGTAAAATAGTGGCTTAATGCTGCTTTGTTTCGTATGGTGAGTGTAGAGAACCTGAGACCCTTATTACTGGAAACGAGGCATTTCATCTTAGTCCTCAGGAGTGACAACGCATTTGCATTTTGATTTGTAATCGAGGATAGATGTAGATGTCTATGGGCCGCAGCAACAACTTACCATCAGGTGGACTGTGTGCTATTTGGCAAATGTGGCACAACCATCACTATTTAGACGCCCAAAACAAGAAATTTATTATAAAGCATTGAGAAAAAAAAGAAGATGGCGTATGACTAAAATACATCGTCCGTACGCCTTTGTAGTCGAAACGAACTGGCACGATGCCGTGAATGTGGATGTGTACGCGTGAACGCCGCGCGAAGGCTGCGTGAACCCTTTGTCGCGGGACCAAATACCGACTCTGATCGGTAAACAGGCGCGAACGCGCGTGAATCCCGCGAAAACCATCCACATTCACGTTCACGCATGTTTACGGAGGTTCACGGCGATAATGTGGAGCCGCGGTTACAAATCGTCGAACCTTACCTACCAACCAGTATGATATTATTACCTACAAACCAAAACAATCAAGTCAATACATTATACTGTAATATAATACATGAAAAGTTAAATTAACTAAACACTTACGTAATTTCTTAAATAATTCCATTCTGGAATAAATTTTTTTCCAAATTTCTTCCCAGGACAAGTCCCTCTTTATTTAATATAATCAGTAATGACTAATATTCTATAGGCATGGATATTAATTTTTCCCCTCAATAATTAGGCAATTATTTTAGAAAGCGTATATAAAGTTTTTGGATGTTATATATTTTCAATTTTAGAAACTTATTTTTTTATCTTTCAATATTAAAAACTATAATATTAGTTTCTAATATTGTAAGTAACTTCATTTGTTTGATAACATTTCTATATTTCTTTTTCATTGTTTATTTATAATTTTGCAGTATAATAAAGTTATTAATAAGCTTGTAGGCGCGTCTATGAAGGACCAGATGGATCAAGAGTGGGAGGAGTGGAGTGGGGTAGTAGTATTATAATATCCAAAATTATTAACTTACCAGTGGGAAGTTATTGTAATGGGTCCGATTTTGCAAATTGGAAATTTTAACTTATCTCTATTTCAAGGTCTTTAAGAGTCGAAAAGTATGGTTTTTAAGAGCATGTCCGTGCGTGCGTATGTATGTATGTATGTTCGCATTAAATTTTCACCACGTATATCTCAAGAACAAAGAGTGATATTGACATGGGACCAGTTTCATTTAACGCATAATTATGTAACTTAGACCTCATTAAATTTTGAGCAAAATCGGTCAAGTCGTTTTTTGTGCCGAATAAAAAATTGTATAAAATATAAAAAATATGATATTTTTTATTCTTTCCACTGGGAAATGTGGGTCGCACCTAGACCGCTTTTTTATATCCATTTTCGTGACAACCCCTAGCATATTACGCCGCTACGCGCGCGGCGGTATCGCCTGACATCAAAGGTGTTTTACAACTGTAAGGTCTTTAAACTGTGCCTATAGCATTAATTGAGTGTAAGGCCTCTGCCTCGAATCTTGCGGGCAGCGGAGCGACGGCGACGGCGGCGCGGGAGCGGGGCGGGCAACGCAGACCCGTTCACGAAACTAGCGGGCAGATCGCGCGACACTATAGCGGCGTAGTGATGTGTTCATGGTTGTGTTGTCGAGATGTTTGTTTTTATTTGCGAACGAAATGTCTGAACAACGGCGACAACATCTTTTTGATTCAAATTTATTTCTAACGCTCAATTTATTGTGGGCAAAAGAAGAAGTGAATCCCTACTACTTATAGGGCAAGGAAAAAAAAGCCGAGTTTTATCGAAATTACGAAGAACAGAGACAATGTCCCGACAAAATCTACTACACCAGAATGAGCGTAGAAACTTTTGACTATATTATTGAAGCTATTAAGGACGATTTAGATTCAGTTCGTTTTTAATTGCTTCCCATAACTGGTTAATTACTCTTCTATTTTTATGGTTCACATCTTTGCTGTTCCATATCGGTGTTCTCTCAAAAATTGCTGAAATAATTTGCTCTTGCACGTCCGAGGACATTTCGAAACGTCACAAAAATTTATTGCACAACACTGCAATGCAGACAGACGCGCGGGCGGTCACCGCTTGACTGGAGTACACCGCTCGTTACGCGCCCCCCGCGCCGCTGCCAAGCCGCTGTTTTCGAGAGTCGGTCCATTTGATTTTACGCATAAGATCCTGCCGCTCCCGCGCCGCCGCCGCTGCCGTCCCGCTGCCCGCAAGATTCGAGGCAGAGGCCTTAGGGGCGTTGAGATAAACTAATAAGGACGAAGAGATGGGCTACAGCATCTTTCTAATAAAAACTCATAATTATAAAAAAAACTGCGGTAGCCAAGCCGCCTGCTAAGCATGCCAACTTTGGCAATCTACTTGGCCAGTGCAGCAGTGGACTATTGATATGCTGTAATGAATGAATGAATGAAATAAAATGTCACTCATTTATGTACTTACTTTTTCTTCGCAAGGTTTTTCGTTAGATTTGACAGTATTCGCCGGACTTGTCTCGGAGGAATTTGCACCTAGAACAAAAGTAAGATTTATTTACTTCATTGATAATCGAAATAAATAACGTGAGTTGAGCTAAGAAAATCAAAAGAAATAAACACAATAGTTAAAGTTACAGCATATATACGTCCCACAGCTGGACACAGGGCTCCCTCATTTCTGAGAGGGCAAGGAAGTGTCGCCGCGCTGCCCCAATGCGTGTTGGCGAACTGACATGCAGGTTTCCTCACGATTTTTTCCTTCACCGCCGAGCACGTGGTAAATCGGCACTTAAAATTGATATTAACAATTTCAATGGTGCCGGCGGGAATCGAGTTCGGGTTGCTCGCGTACTGTGAAATTTACAGCGAGCGCTAACCGTCTGAGCTACCACGGCTCTCTTGAGAGGGTTTAAGGACAAGGAAGTGTCCGTCTCGCTGTCCCATTGCGTGTTGGCAAACTTAACACGTTTTCGAAATATTTTTTTTTCCTGTTTTTCACACATGCAGGTTTCCTCACGATGCGATGTTTACCTTCACCGCCGGGCATTGATACCGGAGGGGCCGAATCCGGGTTGATCGCGTGTTATGCCCAATAATGAGACAGTATAATGTAGGGGATTAATTCATCAGTACTGTTTGGCGTAGCGCATAAAAAATATTTTTTAAGATTCTTCGCGCAGCTTTGTTTTAAACCGTCACACTACGTTGAGCGATCTTTACATTAAAATTGTTGTTAGGGGACTTCACAAAGTAATTGTTCTAGACCTCGTCTAATAAAAATTATCGTAGGTAAAATCTTATGACAACCGCAGCATCAGAACATCTTTATAAAATTGTTATGTGATCTGAGACCAATAAAGATAGATTAGACGGAAGACACCTGAGTGACGCCCAAACAGTGCTCAATTTCTTGACACGCACGCACGCAATCATTTTTCTACGTTGTTTTTTTAAGGTTACAGCCTAATTAAGTCCAATGCTGATAATAGTACTCCTCCATAGAGCTCACAGTGGAGATATATTGCCATAGTTGCCACGCCTGGCAAGCCGGTTGGCAAAGGAAGTTTTAAAAATTTTTGTTGTTATTAGAACGATGTAATGATATTATTTATTATTGCCACTAATAATAATAATGTCCTCCAGACCGAATTTCGGTCACGGCGGCCTGCCTCAAACGGAGGCTAGCCCTCGGCGCAGGAAAGAATTATGGTGTCCAAGTGTATGCGCAAGCACAGGTGCACTCTATTCCCTCACTATCATAATCCGATGAGACGGTAAACCGACAAGACAGGAGAGCGGAGAGAGATCAGGCGCAGGACCAACGGCTTTACGTGCTTTCCGAGGCACGGGGGTGAGACACCGCCAACTTCCTGTCTCCGAGCAGTTCTTGACGGAAAAACTCAATAATTAATTTTTCGGCCCGACCCGGGATTCGAACCCAGGACCTTATGATCAGCAATCGCACTACTACAACCACTAGACCAACGAGGCAGTTTATTAGTGCCACTAATAAAAACAAATGGAAGTAGATGGATTTATTTTGATTACTTCGTAAAAGGGGGGATTATTTGCAATTTTTTATTTTTTTAGACGTTAATTTTTAAGACGATGCATGCATCTCCTTGTTTACGTCGCCTCTTACGAAACCTACGGGATGATATGGGGTAGCGAATATTCTTACACTGTCACTAAACGATTAAAATACCATGTTGGTCATTGCAAATGATTTTAGATGTATATTATGTCCGTATGTTTAAGAGTTCCTAAGAAATAAAGGAGCATGGTTTTGGCTTGGTTTCGGGGTCACTTAAAATGTATGTTCCGTTTATGTTACTTTGTTGGCCTTTTTTTAATATAGGATAGGGTGACAAACGAGCACACAGTCCACCTGATGGTAAGTGGTTACTGTGGCCCATAGACATCTACATCTATCCTCGATTACGATTCGAAATGCAGATGAATGTATATCATTAGAAATTTAAATTAATATGCAGTCAGACTTTAACGTACTTGAGTGAAATAGTCTAACATATGTAAAAGAAAGTAAGACATGTTTTTATTTATTTAATTTGCACTGAAGACTATAATATGATAATATTTTGATCTCACCTGAGTGCGGTTGACTAGTCCTAGTTTCGTGTCCACTTGTACTTTGAGGTTCCATCGATTTCTGTTCTGTGCTCTGCTCAGATTCTGCCGACACTTGAACGTTTGATAGCCGCTTCTAAAGAAACAAATCGGTTATAAGGTAGTTAGTTAGTGTGAATTTTAGTGAAATATTCCTATTGTAGTGTTGCCGAAGATGAAAAATATGTGTTAACATACCAAATTATCTTCTTGCATTTGAAGCCATCTGCTATCTTCTTCGCTCTGATGCTGTTGTCGGGCCAATTCAGCCAACAACCTCTTCTCTACCGCTTGCTCCGTATCAAATTCTGGACTCTGTACAAATAGGAAAGAAGGTTGATATTCTATTGTAATCGCAATTAAAACTATTCAGAACTAACCTTGAAATTGAGTGTTGTTAAACATATTATATTTAAAAGGATGTTTTGTACAAAAGATTTAGTAAACGTTTGTTATACCAATCTATCACCGTAGTGCACATTTTAAAACTTGGTATGTTATCAACAAAGTTAGTTCCTTTTTGTATAGTTTTAATAGAAATCACACGTGAAATTGAATCTTTATTTACCCATTTCAATTAATCGCAAAAATAAAAAATATAACAAAAACAAAATGAAGCGCTACTAATCGTATCGAGACATTACTACGATATTGTGCGGATAATGACAAAAAATCGATATTGAAATTATAGAAAACAATAATACGTTTCATAATAACCGTAATTCATTTTTTTTATTGGCCACTTATATTAATACCGTTACCGTTACAGTCTTAATAAAGTCCACTGCTGGACATAGGCCTCCCACATAGATTGTTTTACAGGGATTCCACATAGATCGTCTCACTATTTGCCATAGTTGCCACGCTTGGCAACAGAGCTTTTTTTAATTTTCAGTCGTTATTGGGAAGACGCTGCCCGTCTCCTGATTAGTTACCCTCTGTCGCCTCTTACGACACCCACGGGATGACATGGGGCAGTTGATATTCTTACCCCGCCACTACACGGTATTCTAATATAAATACCTAATAATGACAAAATAATCACATTAATTAACTATACTAATTAATAATGTATAAGATAATTACTTCCTAACAGCAGTGAGCTGGTCACATAATATGTGTAGAAGTGACAACTATTGTATTAGACATGTCATATAAGTGGACACCGAGACCACGCATACGGTTGGATGTAGCAAGATCAGGCTAAGTGATGCAATTTGGGATAGGCCTATGTCCAGCCGTGGGCTGCCATAGACCGATGATGATAAAATTTAATTTTTGTACAACTCCACACTTGGTCGATAGTTTAAATCACCTGATTGACTTATTAATTTCAGAAAAATCTTACGTAATCTTAAATTTTTAATAAAACATTTCAAGATAAATTACTTAAGGTATCAATATTGTGCATGTCTCGAACGTTTATTTTCACGTATGAATTCGCAAAGAAAAAGTGAGATAACAAAAAATAAAATAAACGAAAATTCTACCGGAGAAACCCAACGGACACACAAACTCTGCAAAAAAAGAAGAATAGATTCATTTACAAGAAACAATGAAATACAATAAACAATTTTCTTCAAAGTCACCATGGATAGGCATTATATACATTATACGGGTTATATATTATATTTTAAACTGGGATTTTTGTAAATTATTATACACCCACATGTATGTTAGTTTAACTTTTTTATATTACAAGATATATTTAAAAAAAAAAACTAATAATGGAATAAAGGTTCGATTTAGTAAACGAAACACTTTTTTATTTAATATGGCACAAAAATAATCAACATTTGGCGGAACTTAATTTGCATGCATTCAAATAATTTCGATCTACGCAATAAAACAACCTATAATTATACAAAAAATCTACAAAAACCAAATTTCGGAAAAGTAAAATTCACCAATTGCATGCGTGCCGGTGCAATACATAAACCTTGCTGTGAACTCAAAATCACCTGAGTGGGTTGAGTTGTTTGTGGCGTTGTCTGTACTACGGGGGAGCATTCTTGACGCGATGCGTATATACTTTGGGCATCCATTGACGACGCTGAAGCGAATTGTGGACGAATCTGATTAGGAAAGCTGGTAGTGGGCGCGACCTGGCTTGCGGATTGCGAGGAAGACACCTGAGGCTTGTATATCATGGGTTGAGCTCCTTGGACTACATTTGAACTGTATATTTGCTGAGGAGCGTACGACATAGGCGGCACAACCCCCATAGGTTGGTTGAAGCCTGGAGGCATTTGAGCGGAATACACTTGTGGCAGAGGGCTCGCCGACCTAAAGTGGCTCGACTTTGAAATTTGTCCGTGACCCTTGCTGGGCCCCTGACCGTACTGTACACCTTGGACTATTCCTACGGGAACTCCATAAGAAGTTGGGTGAGAAGCTGCCATGCCGGCCGTAACGGGGCGATAGGCGGGCTTCATTGCTTTTTGAGCAGCAATAGCCACGCAGCTTTTGACATTATCACCTCCAAAATCATATATCTCCTCCACTAATGGGGGGTCCGGCTGCTGTCGCATTTTATTCATAACACTAGCCGCTAACTGAGCGTTGAGTGACCCTTGAACAGAAAACTGCCCTACATCTTGATCTCTGCGAGTCCTCGGAGGTGGAGATGCCGGTACGGAATGCTGCCTCGTAAAAGGTGCGATAGGGACGGGAGAGCCTCGATGAGAGAGACTCCCTCTAGCGTTTCTTTCGAGCGAACCCATTCTTATAGGGGCCCGTTCAGTCGATAAGGTACCTCTTGTATTGCGCTCTAACGATCTAACTCGACTCGGATACGTATCGCTCGATACATCCGTCTCGTTCTGACACGGAGAAGAAACGTCTGTCCGAGGCGAGACGGGAGTATTCTGGCACAGGTTGTCGCAACTCTCTCGTGCGCCGACCACAACGGTTAAAGTTTCATCGGCATTTTCGGGGACGAAAGGGTCCAGTTTGTGGAGGCTCGCGGCCGGGATGGGGGCGGTTTGGAGGGGGATGTCGATTATTTCGTCGGGTTTGGGATTGATGATTTTCGGTAGGTCGTTCTCCGGTAGAGTTTGCGCGAAGTCGACGGCGACGGTGTTGAATACCGATGCTGGTGTGTTGTAGGCCTGTGGGTCGATGGCTCGGGTTTGATTTTCCCTCAGTAAGTGGGCCAAAACGAGCGGGTTTTGAGCCACGATGTACGTCTGTGGGGCTGCGCCGGCCGCTTGCTTCGACGTCGAATCCAGTGCTGTTGGCAACAGAATGAACTAAGATTTATATTGAATAAAACTATTATTTACGGATTTTATCGCGTTTAATTAACTACTTTAACTTATTTTTATTATTTAAAAAAATATCAACAGTCCTAGTTTGAAGGGATCAGTTGGAATGATCAGTTGAACTGACCGTGTGTGTTGTCCATAAGACTGAGCCCAGTCGAGTAGCCCATTAATACTGCGGTTCAAATTAATATGTAGCCGGCTCAGTAGTTTAATGGCTAAGCCATGGCTGGTTGTGCTGCGGATCGCAAGTTCATTCCCAAAAAAGTATTTTTGTACTGGTCACAGATTTATTATGGATCTTACTGTTATTTTTGTGCAATTTATTTATGTAGGACGCCTCCACAATACAGGATAAGATGCTTAATATCCGGGTAATTTTTTTAATAATCTGTACAGCATGCTTTACTTGGCGTTGCCAGACACGGCTGTCACTTACGAAAGCATCATAATGCATATTCAGCGAAATATATTGCTATAAGTGCAGATAATGAATATTATTACAAATGGCAGTTTATTGTTGTTGTGGTTACAAAAAAAATAACGATATTATATTAATTAAAACATTATTTTATTTTGAATTTTCGAGTTATTGTAAAAAAACACACGAATTTATTAAAATCAATTCAACTATAATATAATTTTAAATTATTTACTGAATATTATAATGGGGAGGTAAATTAATTTACAAATATTTGTTTTTAGTATTTTAATCATTGAAACTACCAACTAAAACAATTTAAAATAAGTATTGGTCAGGGCGAATATATTGGTGCATAGATTTGGTCGCTGCACTGACGTTGTCATGATCACTATTTTTAAAGTATATTGTGCGTCATTTCATTCTTGCACACGCACACACACACACACACACACATACGAGTCACGCCTGTAAACTCTGAGGGCGTGGTTAGAGTCTAAATATCACTGAGCCACTTTGATCACGATTAGCCAAAAAATATGGGTAAAGATGGAAAAATGTTAAAGAAGAAGAACCTACACAATGGGTGCGTTTGGCAGAAAAAAGCGCTAGCAAGCGCTTACAAGCGCTAAAATAGTTTTCGGCCAGGACACGATTGCTACTTCAGTAGCGCCGACACAATCCGCCATTTTGCTTATTTAATTTGTTTGTTTTGAAGTAGAGTTTATAAGTTGTTTTGTGCAATATTAGTTTTAGGTAATATAATGACATGAATAAACATATACATGTTATTAAAAATTCATGATTGGTAAGTTTTTAATATGAATACTTTACAACACATATTTAAATTAGGTTAGGTTCTTCGGTTAAAACTAACATCGTGTCCTAGAGGAAAATAGCTACTTACGATTTGACAGCACTTACCGCTTACGATCGCCATTTTGTTTACAAGCGCTTGCTAGCGCTTTTTTCTGCCAAACGCACCCAATCAAAAACTTGTTAGCCCATTATGCGCCACCGATCTGTGTGAAAGCATTCTCGTGGCCCTCTATTCGGTGAAAGTGGAACACCATGGGGTTTAATCGGTGTGAGGCCGACATAACCCGTTCTAGTCCCCGCGAAGTGGTATGCGTAGGCATTTCACCATGTAAAATACATGTATGAAGTGCAACCTCCAGAAACCTAAACTTCTAGAGAATGAGACGAATGCAGAGTATCAGGATTAGGATAATTGTAGGGCTTATGTAATTAAAATATAAATAGTGTACTGTATTGTATCTCTTTGTCTCACAGGCTAAATCCTATAGATGTATATTTTTTTCTCTTCATAGTGTTTCTGAAGTTTTAAGCTACACGCATAAAAGGTTTTTTTCTTGCAGATCTGCAAGTCGTATCGGTCCGGAAAATTCGCTGGAGGTAAGTCAATTCTACAAAGAAGTTGTGCGTGGGAGAAAACATATTAACATGTATAGATAGCAAGAATGATGGTAGCTGACCTGGCGGCAGGTGGGCGGGCGGGCGGCTGGGCTTGGGCGGCGGTTCGTCGCCCCACGAGGCGGCGGCTACGCGACGGTTCTCGCGCCGCATGGTGTCCCACGCGCTGCTGCGCTCCTCCTGCAGCACCTCGCTGCGCCACACCACACCACACTTGGTTAATACATTATCTATCTGTATGATAATCTATCTGTTCGTACAATTTCATTAAATCGCTTCAGTCATTCCCATTTCCGTAGATTAGCCCGGGTAAACAAACGGACAAAGAAAAAATTTAAAATTTGTTATCGTTACAGCGTATTAAAGTCTACAGCTGGACCCTCTGTCGCCTGTTACGATAACCATTTATATATATATATATATATATATATATATATATATATATATATATATATATATATGCATCAAATTCGGAGCCTAGCCACCGTCGCAGGACAGTATTATAGTGCCCAAGTGAATGTGCAAGCACAGGTGCTCTCTCTATTCCCTCACTGTGATAATCCGATGAGACGGTAAACCGACATGACCGGAGAGAGATCAGGCGCAGGACCAACGGCTTTACGTGCTTTCCGAGGTACGGGGGGCACCTTTATATTTTAACAACATTCAAACAACCCCCTCCATTTACTTAAATACTTAGTCACTTATTTCAATATTACATATACATATATTTAGAGAAAAACCACGTATTATATTATCGACAATGGTGTGTCTTTCCTAATGTAGTGGTGACACGAAGATATTGCACACAATTTAGGGAGAAAAAAGGTGTTGCTCTTCAAACTATAAAGACATATAATTTCATTTAATTACACTAATATTAGCCAATTCATTTTTAACATCCTTAACATCAAATTAATCAGTCGAACCAGATGAAACTTTGTTAGGAAAGTAATAAACATGACGGAGATAAAGTGTAATTTGGTGTTCGATTATCATTCTGATTGATAAGTGTGAGACAAAACAGTGGTTACTCTGTACATTATTAACCCAAAGAAGCGGTAATTAAATGATCTAGGTAGATACATCAATACAGTTACATAACTTACAATCATATTTTTTTTAATAAAATTAAAATAATTAACGAACTTACAGTTGACCTTAGGGTAGGTGGTTACTGTAGCATAAGGACACCTACTTCCAACAGAGAAGGCTACAGATGAGTTGTCACCTCTGGGGACTAAGAGAGAATGCCTAATTACCAGTAAAAAAGGTCTCCGGTTCTCTACACTCACCATAAGAAACACTGCAGCACTAAGCTGCTGTTTCACGCTAGTATTTAGTGAGAGCGAGGTCCTTTCCCGGCCAAGTCGATTCATTCGTGCTACAACCCAAATATAACTGCAGCATGGCTCCTCCACCTAAAACTACTACTACTACACTACTAAACTATTACTGCTACACTCAACGAAGACCTGCAACGAACTTCGAACAAAGAAAACAACGGACGTGTTGCTTTGTTTGTTGAAAGGTTTGTGCTCCGAGGACTAAGATGGAATGTCTCGCTACCAGTTAAAACAGTCTTCGGTTCTAGACACTCACAACCGAAATACGGTGTTCATTGAGATCTAACCCATTTGTGCTGCGACCATAACATAGCTGGAGCATGGTTACCTCTCCTAACTTTAACTCTCTCGCTGCTGCTTGTCTCCTACATAAGCAGCAGAGTCTTTCCAATAAAAAAAACTAACATGTGCCAACCCGCTTGCCAAGCGTGGCAACTGTGGCAAATATTCCCTCTGGACTGTAAAAGGCTGTAACAGTAACGGTAGCATGTATAAATGTGTAGATACAAGAGCGTCTCCTTGAGGCTGTGCGCGGTGGGGCGCTGCGAGGGCTCGTAGGCCCAGCAGTGCAACATCACGGAGTACAGTAACGGTAGCATGTATAAATGTGTAGTTACAAGAGAATCTCCTTGAGGTTGTGCGCGGTGGGGCGCTGCGAGGGCTCGTAGGACCAGCAGCGCGACATCACGGAGTACAGTAACGGTAGCATGTATAAATGTGTAGTTACAAGAGCGTCTCCTCGAGGCTGTGCGCGGTGGGGCGCTGCGAGGGCTCGTAGGCCCAGCAGCGCGACATCACGGAGTACAGTAACGGTAGCATGTATAAATGTGTAGTTACAAGAGCGTCTCCTTGAGGCTGTGCGCGGTGGGGCGCTGCGAGGGCTCGTAGGCCCAGCAGCGCAACATCACGGTGTACAGTAACGGTAGCATGTATAAATGTGTAGTTACAAGAGAGTCTCCTTGAGGCTGTGCGCGGTGGGGCGCTGCGAGGGCTCGTAGGACCAGCAGCGCGATATCACGGAGTACAGTAACGGTAGCATGTATAAATGTGTAGTTACAAGAGAATCTCCTTGAGGCTGTGCGCGGTGGGGCGCTGCGAGGGCTCGTAGGACCAGCAGCGCGACATCACGGAGTACAGTAACGGTAGCATGTATAAATGTGTAGTTACAAGAGCGTCTCCTCGAGGCTGTGCGCGGTGGGGCGCTGCGAGGGCTCGTAGGCCCAGCAGCGCGACATCACGGAGTACAGTAACGGTGGCATGTATAAATGTGTAGTTACAAGAGCGTCTCCTTGAGGCTGTGCGCGGTGGGGCGCTGCGAGGGCTCGTAGGCCCAGCAGTGCAACATCACGGAGTACAGTAACGGTGGCATGTATAAATGTGTAGTTACAAGAGCGTCTCCTTGAGGCTGTGCGCGGTGGGGCGCTGCGAGGGCTCGTAGGACCAGCAGCGCGACATCACGGAGTACAGTAACGGTAGCATGTATAAATGTGTAGTTACAAGAGCGTCTCCTTGAGGCTGTGCGCGGTGGGGCGCTGCGAGGGCTCGTAGGACCAGCAGCGCGACATCACGGAGTACAGTAACGGTAGCATGTATAAATGTGTAGTTACAAGAGCGTCTCCTTGAGGCTGTGCGCGGTGGGGCGCTGCGAGGGCTCGTAGGACCAGCAGCGCGACATCACGGAGTACAGTAACGGTAGCATGTATAAATGTGTAGTTACAAGAGCGTCTCCTTGAGGCTGTGCGCGGTGGGGCGCTGCGAGGGCTCGTAGGCCCAGCAGCGCGACATCACGGAGTACAGTAAGGGTAGCATGTATAATAAATGTGTAGTTACAAGAGAGTCTCCTTGAGGCTGTGCGCGGTGGGGCGCTGCGAGGGCTCGTAAACCCAGCAGCGCGACATCACGGACTACAGTAACGGTAGCATGTATAAATGTGTAGTTACAAGAGCGTCTCCTTGAGGCTGTGCGCGGTGGGGCGCTGCGAGGGCTCGTAGGCCCAGCAGCGCGACATCACGGAGTACAGTAAGGGTAGCATGTATAATAAATGTGTAGTTACAAGAGAGTCTCCTTGAGGCTGTGCGCGGTGGGGCGCTGCGAGGGCTCGTAACCCCAGCAGCGCGACATCACGGAGTACAGTAACGGTAGTATGTATAAATGTGTAGTTACAAGAGCGTCTCCTTGCGGCGGGGCGCGGTGGGGCGCTGCGAGGGCTCGTAGAACCAGCAGCGCGACATCACGGTGTACAGTAACGGTAGCATGTATAAATGTGTAGTTACAAGAGCGTCTCCTTGAGGCTGTGCGCGGTGGGGCGCTGCGAGGGCTCGTAGGCCCAGCAGCGCGACATCACGGAGTACAGTAAGGGTAGCATGTATAATAAATGTGTAGTTACAAGAGAGTCTCCTTGAGGCTGTGCGCGGTGGGGCGCTGCGAGGGCTCGTAAACCCAGCAGCGCGACATCACGGACTACAGTAACGGTAGCATGTATAAATGTGTAGTTACAAGAGCGTCTCCTTGAGGCTGTGCGCGGTGGGGCGCTGCGAGGGCTCGTAGGCCCAGCAGCGCGACATCACGGAGTACAGTAAGGGTAGCATGTATAATAAATGTGTAGTTACAAGAGAGTCTCCTTGAGGCTGTGCGCGGTGGGGCGCTGCGAGGGCTCGTAGGACCAGCAGCGCGACATCACGGAGTACAGTAACGGTAGCATGTATAAATGTGTAGTTACAAGAGAGTCTCCTTGAGGCTGTGCGCGGTGGGGCGCTGCGAGGGCTCGTAGGACCAGCAGCGCGACATCACGGTGTACAGTAACAGTAGCATGTATAAATGTGTAGTTACAAGAGCGTCTCCTTGAGGCTGTGCGCGGTGGGGCGCTGCGAGGGCTCGTAGGCCCAGCAGCGCGACATCACGGAGTACAGTAACGGTAGCATGTATAAATGTGTAGTTACAAGAGAGTCTCCTTGAGGCTGTGCGCGGTGGGGCGCTGCGAGGGCTCGTAGGACCAGCAGCGCGACATCACGGTGTACAGTAACAGTAGCATGTATAAATGTGTAGTTACAAGAGCGTCTCCTTGAGGCTGTGCGCGGTGGGTCGCTGCGAGGGCTCGTAGGACCAGCAGCGCGACATCACGGTGTACAGTAACAGTAGCATGTATAAATGTGTAGTTACAAGAGCGTCTCCTTGAGGCTGTGCGCGGTGGGGCGCTGCGAGGGCTCGTAGGACCAGCAGCGCGACATCACGGTGTACAGTAACAGTAGCATGTATAAATGTGTAGTTACAAGAGCGTCTCCTTGAGGCTGTGCGCGGTGGGGCGCTGCGAGGGCTCGTAGGCCCAGCAGCGCGACATCACGGAGTATAGGCGCGGCGGGCAGCGCGGCGGCAGCGCCAGCCGCTCGCCGTTCTCCAGCTTGCCGATCACGTCGTTGTTCTTCACGCCGCTGAACGGCTTCACGCCCAGCATCATGATCTCCCACATGCACACGCCTACACATACAAAGCACAATAAGCGACAGTAGCCAATAGATTAAGGATACGGACCGCGAAAATTAATAATTGTGAAATCGTATCAGTCACTCGACTCTGTCGTTTTTCTTATAGGAGAGGGGCAAACGAGCCAGCGGCTCACCTAATGGTAAGTGACTATCGCCGCCCACAAACCACTGCAACACCAGTTTAGTTGCAGTGCTTTACCGTTCTTTTCGAACAGAGTAAGCTCTTTTCTCGAACATCCCTAAGTCGTATAAGTACGGAAAAGTCGCCGGTGGTAAACGATTCCACAGAGGAGTTTTCTTCCTCGTACGAGTACGTAAAGTACGTAAAAAAACTCCTAGTAAAACGCACAGTGGTGGGTCGCCAAGCATCCAGATCGTGTGGATGGTACCGTAAGTTTTATAGTGACGTGCGTTCGTGAAATTTAGCGGCTGGAATTAATCCGAACAATTCCTCAGAGCAGTCTCCGCGGTAGATGCGATTGAAGATGCAAGGCATGCAATATCTCGTCGCAGCGCCAATGGCTCGAGCCATTCGGAGAAGACTCGGTCGTAGCCGATTCGAGCCCCTCTGCGCTGGATACTGACAAGTGGAAGGAGCGGCCCAGAGATGAAAACAGTATTCCATGTGAGGCCGAACTTGTATCTTGTAAAGTTGCAAGCGGTGTGCCGACATGAAATACTGTGCCGCTCTGTTGACCACGCTAAGCTTTTTAGAGGCCAATTTGACCACGAAACTGCACATCATTCGATACGTCAACGCCGAGAATTCCGATATAACAAGGCTGAGATGGGAAGGGGAGTGCCTTGAAACTGAGGAGATAAGACAAAGGGGTTTCTGTTAGCGTTAAACACGCAAATTTGTGTTTTCTGGGGATTGAACTGTACTAGATATAGTCACCCCCAATCCAAGACTTTGTTCAAAAAAGACTGGACTTTAGATACAAATTTATTCCGGTACTCTGTGAAGTTTTCCCGAGAAATATTGGCAAGGCCGGTGTATAGAACATCACCAGTGCTGTCGTCCGCATAGCAATGAATGTTATCAGTATGCAACGTATCAAGGATATGCAGAAGAAACAGCGTTGGTGATAGTACGCAGCCTTATGGCACTAGAATTAATAAGCTTATAATCGGAGCATGGACCGTCTGCAACGACCTTGATGCTCCGATCTGCAAGAAAGCTGGGGATCCAATTCCACAATTTCTCTGAAAACCCATAAGATGAAAGCTTCGAAAGAAGCGCTTTGTGCCAAACCCGATCGCCTTCACTATGTCCAAACTAACCGCCAAGGCCTCAGGCATGAGTATCGAAAAGTATTCCACCTTAATTTTGTTTTATGCGATGCTCTCCGAATTGTCCTACTGTTGATATGAATGCTTGTAGTTATGGGGTAACTCGGTACCATATTGTTCAAACCGATTTTTTTCAATTGCAAAAAATTGTTGATGGCAATTGACTAGAGACTAGGGAACAAACTTGGGGACTTCCCACTCCAGATGCGCTTCCTCTCTCTCCTCTACACTCCCAACTCACCGCTCGGGAGTTTTTTCAAATAAGTAAGTTTCTCTGGCGCACCCTGTCCGTAATGTTATAAGAATTTATGAAAAAGATGTTAATAGTTACTTTGCATCCGCTCAATAAATAAAATGATGTGTCTTGCCTAATTTGAAGAGCACCTCCCGCCCTATCTCAATTGCGTGCATTAATCCCGTCACCACCAATCCCAGCACCACTAGAATTGATGAATCCAAAATTGCCTAATATGCCACTAATGTACTAGTGTTATCGGAATTAAAACATATCACAATCACACAAAATAAATAGAGCATTTTATAGGTGTTATATAACAAGATAAACTGCTATACTAAAAGCTGAGCTACTAGATCTAATCTGATAAGCATACCGAACATCCAGACGTCTGAGGCAGATGTAAACCGTCTGAAGTTGATTGACTCGGGAGCCATCCACTTGATAGGCAACTTGCCGCGGGACGCTTTGTAGTACGACTTGTCGTCTACTCGTTTCGATAGACCGAAGTCTGCCAGCTGGAGTCAAGATTCATTACAAATTATTATCACATTATTTCTATATATAATACATAAATAAACTATCATTTGACATGACTCTGATACACCTATCTCGCTTCTTACAATAATATGCACGTATATGTGGCCGTAATATCATGACCATCAATAAAAGTTACAGCCTATATACGTCCCACTGCTGGGCACAGGACTCCCCTCATTTCTGAGAGGGTTTTAGGGCAAGGAAGCGCCCGCCGCGCTGCCCCAATGCGTGTTGGCGAACTTCACGTCTTCGAAATATTTTTTCCCATTCCTCAGACATGCAGGTTTCCTCACGATGATTTCCTTCACCGCCGAGCACGTGGTAAATCAGCATTTAAAATTGCAATTAAAAATTTCATTGGTGCCGGCGGGGATCGAACCCGGGTTGCTCGCGTTCTGTTATATTTACAGCGAGCGTTAACCATCTGCGCTACCACGACTATATGGATGCATTGGCCATCAATATATCGCCAATTTTGTCGAAAACTTTCGTTTAGGGCGTAACTTGACGATTTTGCTACTCACTTCTGCTGCAAAAATTTGCTTTGTCACTCTTTTCTCATTCATTATTTCTACTTGTTCAAACCACATTTCTTTTTTAATGCTGATCACAACTTCTTGAAAACACCACTTTCCTCTTAACGACGCAATTCATTTTTTGGTTAAAAAATGAAATACCCATATGTCCATCTGATGGTAAGTAACTACTGTAGTCCAAGAATAAGACACCTGCAGCCAATTTCAAACAAATGAGGCTAAATATGCGTTATCACCCCTGAGGACCAAGACGAAGTGCCTCACAGTCTGTAATTTCACTGGCTCTCTGTACCACCCAGTCTAAAAGACAGCAGTGCAGGCACTGCTTTTTGGCGGCAGAAATATGTTGGAGGGAATCATGGGCAGAATAAGAGTCCCGCCTTCTATTAATTCTCACTCTGTCATTCAAAGTCACCCCTAAAATATTTTTTAATGATCGTATAATTTTTATTAATTCAACCTGATGCAATAAGCTAAATCAATATCAGAGGGCACTAATGGATCATAGAGTCATATTAACTCAAAGGATAAGAATTCGCCCTTTAATGTCATAGTACAAACAAACAGTTCGATCCCCACCAGCAATAAAATTATTAATTGCAATTGTAAATGCTTAACATTTGTTCGTCGTCAAAGAGAATGATGACGATATTTAGATCCTCCAAAGCCGTCAACCTAATTTTTTCATCATCATTACAGTCTATCAAAGTTCACCGCTAAACAGGTCTTCCTATATATTGACCTCATGCCACAGTTGCTACTCTTGCCAGGCGTATTGGTCACCGCAGTTTTTAAATATTTTGAATTGTCATCAAGAAGATGTTGTTGGCCATTTAATGCTCCTCATACGACACCCGCAGACTTACATTAGTGAAGTCTCTTACGCCACTACTACTATTATTGGTTGTTAACAAACTAATTAGACCTAATTTAGCATTATTGTTATTTAAAGATTTCTATGTAGTTTTATTAAATACATATAATATATTATATTAATATTAATTTTTGTATGTTTGTAAAGTATACAACCTTATAAAGTTCGAAATATTATTTATAAGTTACTAGCAAGTCATTACTAGAATATTTAATAGAGATATGGGGAAGTGCATCTAAAACAAATATAATGGATCTTCAAATATCCCAAAACAAATTGTTAAAAGTTTTATTCCAACTTGACTACCGCTTTCCTACTAAAGAGCTCTATAAACAAAACTGATACATTATCCGTAAGTCAACTATACAAATATAAAACGTGCATACTAGTCAGAAAAATTCTCTTACACACCGAAATTAGTTTTAAAACCAAATCACATAAACACTGTACACGAAACAAACATAAACTGCATTTACCAAAAGCTAGGACTAAAACTTATGGTTCGAAAACTATTGAGTTTGAGGGAGCGCTATTGTACAGCCTACCGAATGAGGTATTTCATGAAAAATCGTTTTCAAAATTTAAAGATAAATTAAAAAAGCACTGACAAACATTAATTTAAAGAGTGCTTTTTAATCCTAATTTCGATATATTTATGTAACTTTATTCATATAAGTCACCGTGTTTAAATGTATTATTTTTAACAATTATTTTTAAGTCCCATATAAGTGAATATTTGTTCTTTTTTGAGAGAGATAAACTCTTTAAACCTAAATATATTAATGAATTAACTGGGACTGTTTACCTTGACACAAGTCGCAGTGGATACAAGTACATTCCGAGCGGCGATGTCTCTATGAACGAACTTTTTACTCTCCAAGTAACTGAGCGCGGTCGAGAGCTGGTAGATGTACAGAACTAATGTACATGTCTCCAATCTGTAAATAAATATTTTGTTATTATAATGTAGTTTAGGCGCGGGAGAAACAACGCGTGAAACACTGCTAATTTACTATCCCAATAACCGATTTAAACAATAATGTCTTCCAGACCTAATTTCGGTCACGGCGGCTAGCCTCAACGAAGACTAGCCACCGGCACAGTACAGGTTTATAGTGCCCAAGTATACGCGCGAGCACAGGTGCACTCTCTATTCCCTCACTGTCATAGTCCAATGGGACGGTAAACCAACACGACCGGAGAGAGATCAGACGCAGGACCAACGGCTTTACATGCTTTCTAAGGCACGGGGACTGACGAAAAACTCAATAAACTCATTTTTATGTGCCCGACCCGGGATTCGAACCCGCATTCGAACCTCATGATCAGCAGTCGCACTACTACAACCACTAGACCAACGAGGCAGTCAAACAATAGCAATGGTCCAGCAATTGATGGGAGAGCTATCCCAAACTTTCTCCCAATTACATTACTTAAGCCTCCATTTCCCTCTACAAACTTTAGGCAAAATATATTTCAATGCAGAGCGTACAATAATTTCAATAAGTATGTCAATGAGTATGACTCCGAATTGTTTCTACATCGTGGCGTCAGCTAAACACATATCTAATAATGCACCTTCTGTTAGTTTTAATGAGATATGAACATTATGATGTTTTGTTATTTTGTTAATTGTATTGGTAATACCACGCGTTGTTGTTGAGCCTTCAAAAATTGGTGTTGAATCGCGTTCATCACTATTGTGTTGTAATTTCACTTTTGATTCTATTAGTACCTTTACTTCCTATAGCTATTAAGTATTATTTATGTTACCCATACCGACTGTTGGTCTTCCAAATAAAATAAAATAAGTATCGTTATCTTTATTTTTTCGGATCCCAAGATACAGGATTATCCTAGTTTGGGGTTCAACAGAAAATATTTGTATACTTTATCTTGAACATTGTTTAGATGTTTAACTTAGTGTTCTTGCTTACATTTGTTAAATCTATATGTCAATAAAATTTATTATTATTTGGGGTATCTATATAATTTTCTCATCTGGTTGGGTTCTATAAATATATAATTATAAATTAAAATGAAAAGATAAATATACATATTTATCAATAAAATAAAATATTATTATCATTATCTTCTTGGAAAGTAGAAGAGGCATGTGTTATATAGGTAATAATTTTCTTTAACTTTTACCTATGCGCGTTTTGTTGCAGGTACGCACGCATCTCCCCTAGCGTGGCGAGCTCCATGACGATCCAGATAGGAGGGGAGCTACACACCCCCACTAGGCCAATAATGTGCGGATGTGAAAACTGTTGCATGATATCTGAAACAAAATAATTATGATTTTTGAAGTGAAAACTTCTTTAGCGGCGTTGTACACTTTTTTGTAATGTGTAAAAAATGTTAAACTCCCGTCAGGACACATGACCCTGATCGAAAATTCGTAAGACGGATGGAGAGAGAAAGAGAGAGAGAGAGAGACAGCCGGCGCGGCGTAGGAGAGGAAGTAACCCCTCCCTTTCTACGGCGCGGCGAAAATGTATTCCTGCACCTGCTGTTTCGTTTAGGCGGCGCAGGGCGCTTGCGCGAATGTACCTAATATAAATTGTCATGTTTGTGTACGATAGCGCAATAAATAAATATTGTATTCTACCACATAAATGATAGTATTTTTATACCGATAATTAAAGCAATTCGTGCAAAGTTATTCCCTAACCATTCCAAAATACTAAAAATTCACAACATTAATATTCAAGTTTTCACTTCTGCCAGCACTCCCGGAGTGCAACCAGTCGTTTTTTTTTGCTGTACCTTTGAGTGCTTTTTTATTGAAAAGGACAATTCGTTTATGATAAAAGGTGTTGGATAGGTTTTTTGTCATAATTAACCTATCACTCACTGCGCCCGCCATAACTAAAAACAGCTTTGTACCGAGGCGTCCGTCGTCACCTCAGCTGGCGGCACTTGTTTTAAATATTTATGTTTCTCACGACCTTTCATTTATGTTTAAAGAGGTTTTAGTTACAGTTATTTAAAGCTGATAAGATTTTCGATAAGTAGAAACAATAACCATAACATATAAATGTTTATGTTATTTTGTACAGCTCTTTGTTTCTAACGGATCTTGATAAAGTGTACTTACTGACGATAAATTTTATATTATGAATGAAATATCGTAAGTTTTTATTTTATTTTTATGTCCTTACAATCAATACAACATATTCTTCCTAAATGAACCGAAATTATGCATGTAATAATTATAATAATTCTACTTTTTCACTTGCAAACATTTGCTAAAAATTCGACAATAGACAGTTTGCGCGCGCTTACTAAACTCATTTTCAAAACCTTTTTGTGTATATATTTTATATCGTCTTTCTTTATTTTTCTTATAAAATCATATAGATTATAATATTTAGCAATTACTAGTAAAAGTATTTACTATGGTATTCCAATAAGAAATATACTATTATTATCTTATTAGAATCTTATTAGAAATCTTGACCGTTACGAATTGTTCGCGTAGAGGTTTTTTATTTCTACTTTTTTATCAATTGAAACATAAAAAGTTACTGGTTTTGTAACTTAAATCATTCAAAAACATTACGTAGTAAAGATAAATAACATTACTTACAGTTTTTTTGAAAGAAAATCCAACTAAAATCACAATCACAAAACTTCAACGATTACGCAACCAACCTCACCGGCACGCAAAAGCGAATGGCTGTTATATTTGATGATGTCTATGTAACCGAATGAATATAATGCTACAGAATATTCTTTAGTTCATTCAGAATCGAATGAAATAGTGTTCAGTCGAAAATATACTGTATTTTTATATCAATTAATGACGAAAATAGCAGCACGTAATGCGGACATGTATACATGTCCTCTGTACTTAGCGGTCACAAAACTTGGACCTGTCAACATGTCCACGGTATCTTAATATACAGATAGAAAATAGATCCTATGAATTTAAGTAGTTGTCAAGAATATTTATTAAAAATATTTTAAAATAATAAATAGAAACAATACAATAGTTATAAAATTGCTACACAAAAGTATGATATTAAAATTTAGAGTGGACACTAGAAACTAGTCTCCATCTTTTATTATTGAGTTTCTCAAATCGTTGAATAAATAGGAGCCATTTGTGAAGATACAAATTAATTTCAATGCATAAACCAACACAGATTAGTAAATAGTTTATCAACAGATACATCACTCCCATACAAAAGCGAAAATACCTACGCTATAGCCTATAAAATCCTAATAATAATATTTGCTGCTCCCAGCGAGAAGAAAATGTCCCATAACGTACTTATGGGACATTTTCTTTATTTACAAAGGTGTTGGCTACGCTAGAGCGACTGCGGAGAGGACGCGACCAACGGAGGTGGGAGGCGTGAACACGCTGCGTCTTGCCGCTGTATATGCCACATTGAGGCGACTGCATTAACACGTGGTTTCTTCTTGTTATTTTTACGCGGGTTAAAAAAAGAGATTTTCTAAATTGGTATTTTCATGTCTAGAAGGGAGTAGTTTTCTTGCACAATATATAACGCAAATTAAAATATGAATTCATGACTTAAACTAAAACAGGCATCAGTTTGGCGAGTATCGTAGACCGTATGATGATAAGTTAAAACCCACAAAACTTTTGAGAAATATAATATTATACATTTAATTTTCATGCTTTCTAGACCATATTGTGGATTATGAAGCTTAGAGAACAGGAGAACGATCGCTACGTACTAAACATAGCCCGCCGGTCCCTGAAAATTGTAGAATACATAGCGGCGCTGACGTCGGTGAGTAGTGACTGCGAAGTTAGCTGTTTATGAGTACAAGTAGGTGAAATTAGTTGAATAAGGTTTTCATTTCATTTTAAATGAGAAAATTTGCATGCTCCGTAATTTTGTAATTTTTGACAAAAAGAAACATTAAAAAATGGAGAAATATTTTATTGTGCGTGGATGTGCTAGTGGTTTAGCATTTGATCGGAAAAATAGACTCAAAATGACTTTAAGACGCGGTGAACAGACGACTTTCATGTCTTTGAGGGGGTGAAGTCGCACGAGTAGTCACGCCCACTGCGGGGTACACTGACAAATCTCGCCGATGCGCGACGTCTATTACATATAAGTGCGTAATTTCGCAACCGAGTCGTAATGTATGTTTGGCCCAACGCGCCGCTGTGTAATCGCGCGGCCTTACCGTGGTGATTGGCAGTTCGAATCTCATGGCGCGCACGTTCTTTGTAATCGTATTTTTAAAATGTTCTCATTATTGAAATATATTTATATAGTTGTTTTCTTATTTGGAAAATATACACCAACATATTTTCGTATTGTTATTTTTAAAATACGTACATATATTATTTTCTTAATTTAAAAATAAATGATCTATTTCCTAGAAAAGATTATCGAGAAATTATGTAACAGATTCCTCAGACGAATAATAAATAATTCATAAATAAAATGGCTTTGGTCAATTCTAAAAATGGCCTATGACTAATTGTCAAAATTGTATATTTATAAAAACATATAGCTTTTTACTATAGATATACATTTCTTTAGAATCAAGGTAAAAATAATAAAAGTTAAAAAAAAACTATTTACAAAATTTATTTTATAAACAGATTGGAAGCACCTACCTTATTCCCAGGGTTTATTATCAACCATGTATTCATTTATACTATAATAACCCTTTTTATACACTTTTGAATTTATTTATTTTTATTTGTTTATTTATTTATTTGATAATAATTTTACAATATTTAGATTGGTATTTTACAGTATAAACATAAGCTATACAGCTTTACCGTATACCGATGCCATCAATATACATAACATGATAATTATTATGCCTAATAATTATGTCATGCATCTTATTGTTGTGATACACGCATTGAACCGCGCTCCCCGTTACAGTCAATAAACCGGTTTGCTCTCGGTGGCGTTATTTGCCTACCTGGCTCGACGCGTCGAGTTCGCATGTACAGGCTGTTCAAATAATTTGATACTAATTAATGATATTAAAGATAAATTATTTTATATTATTAATTATTATTGTAAATGTAACATTAGTTTTTAGAGTATTAATGTGTAGCTTATAACATATTATTTTTATTTTACAATACTTATTATAAGTTACTTAAGAAGTAATTCTTTAATATATTTTTGATGTTGCGTTGATTAATTTGTTTTTTTAGTTGTGATGGAAGTTTGTTTATGATATCGGGAATCATGTATTTTAATGTTCGTTTTCCATATAGATAAATAAAATATAAAATTGATATCACTAGCTTGTGTTTGTTCCTGGTGTTTACAGAATGTGTATCTTTTTTTTACTAAAACTACCTCTGGAAATAAAAATTACTCAAGTCACAATTCTTCAAAATTCAGTCTTCGACTACAACAAGGGACATTTTCTTTGTGGTCGTCATTTGATGTAACTACTAAAGACGATTCTTTTTCTCGCAGTGGCATTCCACGCGCTCGCCGAGAATCGACTATTTCAGGCAAAAGCCAATCCATGAAAAACGACACCAGCTTTTCTTTCATATTTTTTTCCCAAAAATCTTCATCTCTTTTTATAATTTCTGTTTTCAGTGGCTTGTTTCCGCCACTCCATAAAGCAAACAAGCACTTTTCTCTGCGTGTTACGTGGAGCTGCCCTTGAATCTGATGGTACCAATTACTATTTTTGTTCACTTCGATCAGTTCACTTTTTTTATTGTATTTCCATATCTGTATCTTGTTTTCTTTTATACACTCTTCTAGATCCTTTTTGAATGCCATTGAAGGACATTTCACTTCCACTACTGTGTCTTGGCCTATCAAACCATCGGGCGTAGCTCCAATGAAAGGAAATTCGTAGTCCACGAACAACCCGCACGGCTCAATGGTGACATTTTCCTGAATAGCAAGTTGCTGTAAAGCGAGATGTTCATTTTCGATGCCATGTGCGATTGCCGCTATATTACTGAGATTACATTTATATAAAATATTTTCCACTAACTTGGATTTGCTGGTACTCTCTCTTCTTTTTACTACTATTCCAAAATTCGATGCTGTTAGCATATTTTTTCTTAGTTCTACCCAGTCATCGCTATCTCTCTGATTTATAGTAGATAGTTGTATTTTTTCCTTGTCCGAAGTAAGTTGGTTTAGATTTTGAAGAAATAATTCTTTAGCGGCATTTAATTCCTCCAGTGTTAAATCTGGAGTAGTACTCTGAGCCCCATAATCATGTTGAACAGTATAATCTTTCCTTAGCATCCGGTTTTTTTTATGAGGATTTGCTTTATTTAATTTTCTTTTCACCAGTCTTCGTTCTTCAAACTTTTTAAGGATGCTTTTGGGACTTTTCCCTAAAATTTTTTTATGAAGTAGATGCCTTGGGTGGGTGTTATTAAAAGAAACGACTGCAGCATTGCAACGCGCGCGGTATCCCCGACGAAGAGAGAAATTAATTCGCTTTCCACCCACAATCTTTGCGATCACACTATTGAAGCGCTCTACTGCATTGGTATCCACGTCTTCAAGCAAGCTTCTTGATTTTGAAATTAATGACTGGAGTATTGTCTGTATCCTGAACCAAAATATAGAGTTTTTTATTTCCATATTACTCAGTTGTGTTTTTTCCTTGTAACAGTAATAGTTTTTACAATTTTCATGATTACCGAAAGCATGTAGAATAGAATTTTGTATTTCGTTCCTAAAAATTGCTACCGCTTCCGTTTTGTCTTTTTCTGCCTTATACTCTTTTATTGATGCAATAACAACCTTTCGGATACTCAGAATTTTTGTTTCAGTTAGCATCTTTCTGTGCACTAAGGCATATTTTGTGTCTTTGGCTACAGCCCTCAACTTATTGCACATATTGCGAAGCATATGGTTTCGGCATTCAACTTTTTGTACGGTATGATTCTGGTAAGGATTACGTGCCAAGATTTTCGCATATGTAGCCGAGTCGCCATCAGCAATTAACCTACCATAAATAACATTGTACATCGATACAGATGTTTCAAATCCTTGGCAAATTATTTCGGACTCCATTCCGCTAGATGACCCCGTGTAATTTTTGAAACAAACGTGTTCTGGTTTGGCAATGTTTTTTTTCTCTGCACGAGCACATACGAGGCAGTATTTGTTTTTAATGCCTAAAAATAACACTTCACCATATCTGCGACCTACGATTGCTGCAGCGCCGGACAAAGCCTTATAATTATTGCCGTAAGATCGCGATGACCAACAAGCGTCGGCATATACGTCTATTAGAGGAATGCCATCTTTGCTCAATGTTCCTTCAGCTATCGCTGCATCACGCTCACGCATAGCTGCTGCCGCCATGGACTCGACAGATGTTGACTCCCATTTTTCATAAACTTTGTTTTGAACTTGAGCATAAGTTGTTTTCGTGAATATGGGTACGTCCATACATGCTGTAATTTCTTCAAATTGCGAAAAACCGATACCAGCAGAAGTAATTCCTGTAACGGCACCTATGTTAGCATTAACATTATGTGTACTCGATAAATCTTCGCTTGTAACAAAAAAGTCGTTTTTACACATATTGCATCTAAACTTAAATTTAGAGATCAAGCCAATCCTTTTTTCCCCTATGAGTGACATTTCTGAGAAATTACAATTGTGCAAAGAACTATGGTGGGATATAATTTGCAGCTGCCGGATAAAATACATTATGTCAACGACTCTTCGACCATGCACTGGTGGTTCTTGAGATTCGGTCGACGGTTCAACCAATAGCACATCGTCAGTGATTTCTCTGTAATAAAAAAAACGAAATTTAATTTTTATTTAATTAAAAACAAAAAAAAGTAAGTCATGGCAATTACGCGGTGTGTACGAATGCTTACTTATCATAATTTGATTTTGGTTTGGCTTCCGGAGTTACAACTGATGCAATTGAAATTGATGTCCCTGGGTTTTCGTACTTAGAATCGTTTTGTAATCTAAAATTGAAACAAATAAATTTTTAAATTGAAATACATAGTTATTTTTATATCATGTGTATTTTTGAGAAAATGAATTTCAACAATTTGAATTTTGAGTAATTTGCATTTGGCATTTAGATATTTTGTATGCCGATTTATTCAATTATAAATGTTGAGGCCGATTTGGTAATTTATCATTTTGCGCCTAAGCCCACTTAGTCATTTTGCGAAGTAGTCCTTAGTTGATAATTTACAAATATTTTGTAACACCATGTATGTAAACGCTTACTCATGAAAAGTTTTCTCCGATGATTCATCTGCTAACGGATTGCACGCCAACCGTTTCTTCTTACTAAAAAGATAAAACAATAAAATTGCATTATGATTGTATTAAAAATAATAAAATAAAAAAAATAATTTCTGAAAAATTATTATAAACAAGAAAACCGAGAAAAAGTAAAATAATAAGACAATATAATAAATTGAAAAAAAAAACAATTACAGAAAATCAGCAAAAATCGTAATTTATATTACGTGGGATTAGAACCTAGACACAATGACGCAAGGAACCAACTCCATGCGCGGCTCCGCTTGACCAACCAAACTATTGATATAGATGTCGAAATTACGAATGTATAGATAATACATATGCACAAAAACATAGGATACTTACTTTACTATTTCCATCATGTGTTTTTGTTTCATCGAATAAGATCTCTTTATTGCCCTGCGTATATTTTTTTTGTTGCCCATTTTTATAATGTATACATACACTGATTGTTTATTTTATAAAACTTATGAATAAAACCGAAATCGAAAAAAGTTTAGACCAAATTAGAAAAAAACTAATTGAATATTTACAAAACTTATCACTAGAACCAAAACCGAACAAAACATTACACCAACAATACAACTTAGAAAAAACTAATCACAAAATAAAATACTTATACACAGCTTTCAACAACAAAACAGATACGTAAATGACTTTTGAGCGGCGAGCGACACAGGTCCGTCTAGCAACGCGCCTCAGCGGTCAGTGTCGCTCCGCGTAGAAATGAAAGAGATGCGAACAGACGTCAAGATGGCGCGATGTTTAGTTGGACGCGTTCGAGTTATTTATCATTAAATATGTTAATACTTAAAAATATCTTATTTTAATTGATAAATAAATACAACAGTTCCCTTTATTATTATATATTACATCACTGTTATTAATTTTATTAAGACTTGTTTATAAATAATCCAGTTACAATTGCTATAATTTTATTATTAATGGATTTTTTACGATTTTTTTCTATCGAGAAAATTTACCGAAAACGTGTTTTCAATACAATGATCCCCTCGTATATATGATCAAGATTAATATATATTTTTTTTGCAGCTCTAAAATGTATACATTTTCCTAAAAAAATGTTTTCTGAAGCCTACTTTGACTATGTACAGCGCCTTAAATGACCGAACCTCGAGCGATCGCAGCGCCTCTCTTATGGTGTCCATATTTCTGGACACTATTTTCTACGGTGAAAGTTTTCCTGTTCTCTAACCTTCATGTGATGTATGTTGTATGAATTATTAGGCATAATTCTAATAAATCAAAATAAAAATATAAATCGGTATACGGTTAAGCTGTATAGCTTTTGTTTATACCGTAAAATACCAATCTAAATATTGTAAAATTATTATCAAATAAATAGAAAAAATAAATTGCAATTGATTTTAACTATTAAATTATTCAGTACCATTTCATTTCTATTTCCTTGTACATAATGAAAGATAACGATGAAATAGTGCTTATAATTGTGTGAGTATACCCAATTAGACTTTTATTGAGCGAACTTAGTGATGCACAGCGCCTCACTGATGGTATCCATATTTCTGGGACACTATTTTCTACGGCGATCTTACTCCTGTTCTCTAACCTTCATGTTGTAGACAGACATTATTTCGCTAATAAACGTCTCCGTGTTTATATTTTGCATCGCGGAAAAATCAACACGTTTTGATTACTCCGCAAAACGTGCGAACATGTACTATGTCCTCCGCTGGTAGCGGTCGCTTGCAACGGTCGCACGCAAGCCGCGCCAACGTTTCACCTCTCGTTCGTCTCGTATTATTATTTTTCCCGCTCATCGCAGACATGAGGAAAACAGGAGCAAAGCAGAGGAAAATCAATGGTTTGTTAAATTTGAAACAGTGCTGCCAGGCCGATTCATTACGACGTTGTCAAAATTATTTATGAATGCTCCTTTCTAATTCTTCAATATAATTATTAAATGTTTCTGGTGGGACTTTTAGCCCACCATAAAAAGATGAGTTGAAATTTGAAATGAGTATATACAGTGTTGTTTCGTCAACATTGGGTTTCTCCTGTAACAAAGCATTGAAGCTAGTGCAGTTATGTTTTTTGCTACACATATGTAATAAATACCCTTTTTGACTTTGACACCCATCTACTGCACAATAATTACATATGGTTTTGGCATTTCGACGAATAAGCGCGGGAAACGTGCTCGGCGCTAGCACCGTGCTCAGGCGGGCGCGCGGCGGCCCAATGTCGGTTGTATCGTAGGCGATACGCAGAGCGGTAGGCATATAACGCGTGGCCTAGAGCAAGTAACGGCGGCCTGACACCACTTAATTTGTTTTAAGATAAAAAGAAACGTTCTTGACATTCGTTATGAAATGTGAACGTAAATTACAATTTAAAAGGACATTTTAATTAACAAATAACCTCCGATAATATACACTTACAAGCCTCTTCCAGAAACTTCTCCGCCGTATCCAAGTCGGCGTCCATCTTGCAAGTTTTCACGGCGACGTGTAGTACGAACTCGCCGCCCACACTTCGACCTTCTTGTTTCTGAAGAGCTAGCTGTCGTCGAAGCGACGGGTGATTGGCTGAGGTCACGCGACATGTACCTGGAGCGACAAAAAAGTTATAAGGCATATTTACAAGATAAACAGAGTGCTGTAAACAAACCTGGGAGCAACCTTTATATTTTTTTAGAGGCTAATAAGAAATATCTTACACTTGATCATTTAGTGTTCCATGCTTCCACCATAATAACTAAATTTGTTCGCGCTAGTAGAATTTTGCGATTCTGATAATTATACCTAATGTCTTTCGCAAATCATGACATTAAAGTAAAGTATTCAATATAAATCTTGATGGACTCTAATTAAATGTTATGCTATAATATTTCTACGCGTGTGCTGGAAACTTTCACTACAGCAAATATTCTAAGTGAAATGTCTTTGGTAATGTTACCTTTATGAACGTCGCCAAACTGCCCCTCTCCTATGATACCAGTGAGCTCGATTTGATTACGAACCAGTTCGTAGTCGCGCACTGTAACAGAAACAAGTCAACTATGATTACTGGTGTACAACTATTTGTAAGGCCTACAATTTTGGTGTGGACTTTTGTCTCTTTAAATTACAGGAAACTGGAAAGAAAACGTAAATCAAAAGAAGAAATAGCGACGTCTGATGATAAGAGAATCCTTTGCAGAACCACGAGTCCAACCAACCATCTCTAATGAGGGCTAATAATACTCCGTTCACCAGATGTCGCTAGTTGACATTGAGTTGTCTAACTTCTCAATTTAAGTGATATTGAATGTCATCTAATTGAGAAGTAAGTTTATCAGATTCTAGAGTACAAATTATAATATATTAATACTCAGTGGTTTGCTCTTTAATTTATTGCCCATTTTTCACTCTTTTTTACATTTTTCGAACAAATAAACGTAACCGCTATGAAATCTGTCATATATTACGCCATATAATTGAGAAGTTGCGTTTTAAATAAAAGTTTATCGGTTTCTAAAGTACATAAATACTGAATATTCGTTTCATATATATTTCATATTCGGTTAAATCACCGAACATTTCATAAAGTGGTACTCAAAGTGTCCAATGTATTAAAAGGTACGAATTGAGTAATGCCAAGGCATTCATAATTTTATTGTTGAAAGTATATTTGATTCATGGGTTAAATCTACTTATATAGCGTTATGTTTTGAAGGCACTGTAGATTTATTTACAATTATAGCAAATAGAAAGCCAGATAAAATGTTATTGGAATCAAACAAAGAAACATTACATTAGTACATTTCACTTTACTTTGGTCGTCAGTTTAACTAAAATAAATCAAAATATTAGATCTACCACTCATTTTTATCATATAATTATCAATTCTCACTATAAATAACACAACGGAATACTTTTCTCACAAAAAATAGTCGAAACATAAGCAGGTGCCGGTAATTTGCTCAGTACTAGATGATGCAATAACATGTCAGGTGTGGCGGGGAAGCGAGGGGCAGGGACCGTCGCCTATCCCGCGCGCTTTGCGGATAAATTAGTTAGGTACAGAGGTGTTCCTGCCGAATAATGTTTAGCCGAATATTCGGATCGGTAAAAGTTTTACCTAACTTTCGGCTGAATATTCGTATTCGGTGAAATCCATATTCGGCCCCACTCTAATAAATACACAAAACATTGTACAATTATTAACTTTTCTTTAATTTTCTACTTTAAGGAATATCCGTATTTTGGTTATACATTTCTAATCTAAGTATCTAATTAATATAAAAGACATTGCATTTTCCTAACAAATAATCTTCCCGCCATGTATAGTCAAATATTTCAACTCAATAAGAAGTTGTGCCGCCGGTGTGGATGTCTCATCGTAGATGGGGCATAAATTTAGTGTTAATAGTACAAGAAAAAGAAACAATGAATGTTTAAAAATGTATGTTTCTATCAATGTAAATATGAATCCAATGTTTTCTTTTTTAAAAGAAAACAACTGCAAGTGCTTTTCTATCATTTCTATCAGATGACATAATTGTTCAAGCGACGATTTGTTCATTAAAATCAACATAATTGTTCACTTTCCTATAAACAACCCCGGATGTTTTTAAAAGTATAGATACGTCGTACTCGCTCTAGAATGGCAATACGAAAGTCAGGTATTAGGCTTGTCGAATAAATATCGATACATCGATATATCGATATTTTCAATTTGATATTACGATATTTTTGGGGGATATATTTTGTTACGATATATCGATATCAAATATCCAATATCGAAATTGTATCAAAAACTATATTTTCTGCTTTTTAATTTGGTACTTAAGTCGGTTTTTAAGTTGGCAACTCTGTCTTTAAGTCAATGACACATGTGACATGTGTCAGTTCAGTTCAGTAATTTCATTCATTTGTGTATCTGACTAGGCTGTATGGGCTCAGATCCCTTTGCCTTCTTGCTTCGTTAGGAACAAGAAAATTAACCAAAAAAAAAATTATTCAATTCAATTGAATAATTTTTTCGTTTTTTTTTTCTTTTTCAATTGTCATTGTCCGTCCGCTATCAGTAACGAACCTCAACGGGCGCGTTTTTCTGCATTTGAGTTGATTGCAGTCTACAATCTTACTAATTCAATCAATAATTAATTTGAGCATTCCAGTCATGTTTAGTGTTGTATGGGACTTTTTTTTAAAAAGTAGACAAACAAAACGTTTAATGTAATCTGTGTGGAAAAAGATATAAAACCAGTGGCAATACGACGAATTTAGCTACACATCTAAAAAATAAGCATCACCATGCGTTTCTCCAACTTAAAAATAAAAACGCAAGGTCGTCAAGTGAAGTGGATGATATTACACCAAGTTCTTCAGAACATAAACGAATGACAACAAGAACCAGTTCGCCCGTTCCGTCTACTAGTTTATCTATTACTAATGAACCTGCTAAGACAGAAAATAACTTCATGGAATTGTCTGAATCTGCAATTTACGATGATACTGGTGTAAGTATTTAATTTGTACAAGGCCAAACGTAGCTTTAAACTTTAGAGCCTGTAGAATGTAAATATCATTCGTTAATCTTTTATAACTAATAACTAGTCAACTAATGATGTGTGATTACTAAAAGTATCGATATCGATAAATTTATATTTTAGTGTTTTTACTTAAACTTATGTCGTTATGTATTTATGTCGACAATAGTAATGAAATATGTGCAAAATGTTCAATGAAATTTTTCAGACTGAATCCTCCATAGATGGTGGTCGTCAAAGACTTGTGGAAACAAACTACACTCATAGATATGTTTGAAAGAAGTTCAAGCTATGAAGGTATTTTTTATTGATATCAGATTATTGCATTGTTTATATTTTAGTTCTACGAGTAGGTTCTCATTTGATTATATTTTTCAATTTAGCAGGGGGTCAAAAAACTAGCCAAATAAATCAAGCTTTGATCTACATGATTTGCAAAGACAACATGCCTCTATCTTGTGTAGAAAAACCTAGATTGAAAAGATTTATGAGTGTAGTTTGTCCACGCTATAAGGTTCCATCTCGAACTACTGTAAGCAAAGTATACCTAATATTAAATTATTATCTTATCTTTTTTATTTTCAAATGTTATTTTTTTTATTCATTCCTTATTACAGATAACTGGCTTCATGGAACAACGATATGCCACTACCAAAGCCATTTTAAAACAAAAATTAAATGAGAAAAATAATATTGCTTTAACAAGAGACATATTAACTCTTACCAACTCGACACGAAGTTTCATCGTGACAGCGCATTTCCTTAACACTGCAGATAACTGTACTCCTGAGCATGAGATGGTGACATTGACAGCACGGAGAATATATCAGGTAAGAAAAGTATAAAATAAATGCATCAAATTATAAAAAATAAAATAAATAGTAAGTTATAATAAATTTAATGAAGTGGACTAATATTGGTCTTCTTTCCTACAGGCACACACAGCTGATTATATAAAAGAATGCTTTGAAAATATTACCGAGAGAGTTCACAATAGAAAAGAATTGCATTTTATCAATCACCACTGACGGTGGTGCTAACACGGTTGCTGCAGTGAAACAATATTTGGGAGATGGAAAAAGAATTCCTCGCATGGCGCATTTGCTGAATTTAATAGTGGATGGGGCAACAAGAGATAATGGAAAAGTTCTACAAATTGCCAATCGTGTCAAAGCCATCGTAACATATTTTAAACAATCTGTAAACGCAATGGACGATTTACGAGCAGAGCAAGAGGGAACAAAGAAAGAGGGAGAAGTGTTAACACTTATACAATCAGTAAGCACAAGGTGAAATTCTTGTCTTGACATGTTGGAAAGATTTAATACATTATCAGCTATTGTGCCTAAGATTTTGGCAACCAGGCGGAATGCACCTGATATGATAACTTCTTCAGAGTTAAGTGTCATACGAGATCTTATAATGTTGCTTACCCCATTTAAGCAAGCTACTGAAGAAATTAGCGGCGATCAGTACGTGACTTCTAGTTTAGCGATTCCTATTGCAAACTTACTTCAGAAAGGACTTGAAAAAATGAAACCTTCCACCGAATTTGGTGTAGCTGTTCAGAAGAGTTTGCTAAACTTAGTTATTGCCAAACTAGAACCACTAGAGCGACATTTACATCTTGCTAAAGCAACAATTTTAGACCCTCGCTTTAAGCGTATTCATTTTAATTCCGCTCTGGCCGTTTCCACTGCAATAAGCGCATTGTCAAAAGAAATACGTTTAGAACATAGACGTAGAGGGACAATTAAACTCAGATTCAGATCTACTACCACAATACCAAACTCAGAAAATTCTTCGCCGTCGTTGTGGTCCGGACATGAAAAAAATTTGGTAGATATTGCTGCAGCTTCAACAAACTCCAGTTCACTTTCAACCAGTGATGGAATGCCTAGCGAACTAAAGCAATACCTAGATCAGCCTATAATACCCAGAAAGGAGAATCCAACAAAATTTTGGTTTGATTGTCGCCATTTTACCCCAGTTCTTTCCGATATAGCTGTAAAGTATTTGATATCGCCTGCGTTGTCGATTTCCTCAGAGACAGTGGCATCTGCTGTAAATCTCGCAGTACCCATTAACAGAAGTCGGCTTACAGCAGAGCACATAAATCAAAGAGTTTTTCTAATGTCTGTATCAGATAGATATTGGTTTAGTTAATAAATAATTAATATTTTTATCGTTGTTCTTGATTTATTAAAAATGTTTTCTATTGATTAGTATTTATCTAGTAATGTACCTAAGATGACTGAAGTAGGTTAGACCTTTTTTTCATATCGTACCGATATATCGATATTTTTAAATAAAAATATCGATATTGATTATTTCAAAAATATCGATATCGATATGTATCGATACTTTATTGCATTTCAGACATCCCTATCAGGTATTTGCCCGACTCGCATTCAGTATAGCACTCTCTCGTGTTGCGGCTATACTTCGCTACGGCGCGTAAATCTTCTAGTAATTCGTGGCGAAAATGCCTTCCTGTGTATTTAAGTGCACAAATTACACGGCAACTGTTAGAGACAAGAAAAACGTCTCATTTCATTCAAAACTACAGATTTTTTAAAACATTAGATGTAATTTCGTTTTACTGTTGTCCCTATTCTCCTCCGTATCGTAAGTCACGCGCTCGCGCCAATGAGCGCTCAGCAGCAATCAACATGTAACTAATAATGTATATTCATCTCTTTCTAACGATAGATATACCCTATCATGTGTCTCCTTTTGTTACCGCAACGTGTCATAATAAATAACTGTACGTGGATATAGTACTACCTGCGCCACTTTAGAATACAATAGAAGAAGAAAGAAAATAATAATACAGAAAAAGCACGAAAGTAGAATAAATGCTGTAGAAATGCGGTCTTTAAGGAGTATGCTAGGGTTGAATCTGAATGACAGGGTGAGAAATTGCGTGATAAGAGATAAATGTGGTATGCAAGATGATGTTGTGACCAGGATTAAGAAAGGAATGCTTCGGTGGTTTGGTCATGTAGAAAGAATGAATGAGGAAAGAGTGACAAAGCAAATTTATATGGCAGATGTGAACGGCAGAGTCGGGAAGGGACGCCCTAGAAAAAAGTTTATCGACCAAATTGGAGATATTTTGAAAATATGCCACGTTAGAAGTACCCTTAACCGACGAGCATGTATGCGTAGATATATGGATGTAAAGGAGGCGAAAGAGGTATGTCAGGATCGCGGCAAATGGAAGTCCATATTCTCTGCCTACCCCTCTGGGTGACAGGCGTGAGTGTTTATGTTTTATGTTATGTTTATATGTCATAATATAATAACTGTACGTGGATATAGTACTACCTGCGCCACTTTAGAATACAATAATGTTAATTTGTAACCTGTCTATCCGTACGTCTTTGTCAACAACTCAAAATAATAAAAAATTGCGGTTGCCAACCTGCCCGTCAAACGTGGCAACTAGTTATAAGGCAATCTATGGGGAAAGCCTAGGTTCAGCAGTGGATTTTGATAGCCCGTAATGGTGATGATGATGATGAATATTTAATACTGTAAACATTTTCCAACTCATGTCTGATTATAAACGCATAGCCAATCTAAATTAACTCTTATCGCTATTAACGTAAGGCTCACCTGCAGGAGTGGAGTAATCAGCGTCATCGTCAACAATTTCCGCGTAGTCCTCCGAGAGTATTGTCGCTGTGTTCGCCTCCCATGAGCTTGTCTTGCCTTCTGAAGAACTGCTACTCATTTCCGCTAGAGAGAAATAAACGACATTGTATTACATATTACAAACAATTACATTTATTTTTAATTTTTCTTTACTCCGTCGCCCATTGCCTTATCTCAAGAGTATCATAGGAGTTAGTTACCTAATGATTTCATAAATTTACGCGAACACTACACATTGAATAAAACTATTATTTACGGATTTTATCGCGTTTAATTACTACTTTAATTTATTTTTATATCCCGACGTTTCGGGTGCTTTACAGCACCCATGGTTACGGGAGGGACTGCCACCTCCTTTATTCCAAATTATCTAATAAGCTTTGAATGGCGGAATAACCATTAGTCATACTGTGTATAGAAAAAAGAACCATATAAACCGATACTTAAATGGTGAACTTCACAGTTAGCTACCGTGGGCAAATCTTTGTTACAGAGGGCACGAGGGATCTGTAACAGCAAACACCTGGCCGCCGAGCTTCAGCACGTCAAGCAGGTTCTGCACGACAACAAGCTTCGGGTCCCGCGCCTCCGTCACAGTGACCGAGTGAAGCCGACCACAGTCGAGCGTGTGCCTGCTGTACTACCATATGTCAGAGGAGTCACAGACAAGATTGGCTACATCTTGAAGCGAGCTTCTATTAGAACATTCTACAAGCCGCCGAAGAAGATTAGTCAGTTCTTACCATCTGTCAAGTGTTATATTTCTCTACAAGATGCAGGAGTGTACAAGCTTGATTGTGATTGTGGTCTCTAATATATAGGGCAAACAAAGAGATCAATTAGAACCCGCGTAAAAAAACACATAGCTGACGTGAAGCATCAACGTTTCGGGAGGTCTGCAGTTTGCGATCATATCCTAGATGGCCCCAACCATTACATCAGATTTGATAGACCACAAATCCTCGCGAAAGAACATCGATTCCTACCAAGGATGATACGTGAGGCTATTGAAATTAAAAAACATAGTAATTTCAATAGAGAAGGAGGCTGGGTAATACCACCTGCTTGGGATCCTATAATTAATAAAATTAAAACTAAACCCAAGCATACCACTGCAAGACTTCAAAACACAGTTAGTTCCTTCTGCGTAGACCGGACCAAAGACAATAATTAAAAAGCTGAAGGTACTCCGGGATAACTTTGACATCGGGACGTCAGTCACCTCAGTCCCCAGTGACCATGGGTGCTGGAATGCACCCGAAACGTCTGGTATTAAAAATAAATAAAACGCGATAAAATCCGTAAAAGTAGTTTTAATCAATGTATAGTGTTCGCGTAAATATAAGAAATCATTACATAGTTTAGTAGCTATCATAGTTTAGTTTATCTATAGTTTCAATCATTAGCAATCATTAGTTATAATATCTAAGGTAACTTAATTTATTACGAAATTTGACTTGCGATACCCTTCACCTCATAATGTTTGTTTTGTATTAAACGATAGTTTAATACAAGTCATACTTACATCAAAACTCACAAATATCTGTTTTCATATACTGCCAGTTTTAACTAAGTATTTCTTATATTTGAATATTTGGCACTTAAATCCATAACTTTCCCAGCGTTCTTATACTCATATTTTTGCATTCAGGCGCAACACATCAAAAATTTAGATGACAATTAATTATTAAACATTAAAAAGTTTCTTATTGCTTTGCGAAATCGGCAAAACGAGGACTGTGACGTCACGACTTTAACAGCATGGCGGCTCGCGTTTTTACGCGAAAATTTAAAACGATAGATTAAAAGTAATTTTTAGGCACTATTCGTTTTTAAAAAAATTATATAATAGCGGTTCATTATCACTCTAGGATTCATTTAAAACCCTTTTTGTAAATGGGTGTAATACCCTAATGCAACACCAACGATAATCAATTAGTTTGTGTTATGGGTAAATGTTGGTTCCAATTGAAATTGGATCCCAAAGTCCAACGTTTTGTTATCAGTAATGATGGTCATTAAAACACGAAGTTGTGAATAATATAGATATACCCGGCTCATAGTTCTAAAGACAAGGTATTTTAATATGCCACTTACTTTTACACTGACAATTCAGTTGCTTCCATACGGTTGCTTGAAAATAATTAATAATGAATTTATATATGAAGTCAAAATAAACAGAATTTACCTCTATTCAATTATAACAACTATATTAAAATAAAACTTTGTTTAATTGCGTATATTTAAAAAAATCGCAGTGTAGTTGCGGTGTAAAACATATCTTACCGTAGGTGTCATAAGAGTGTCGCCTCTTGAAAGGGAGAGGGAAATTGGAACAGGAAATTGGCAGCACCATCTAAAATGCGAAAACTGCGGTTGCCAACTCGCTTGCCAGGCGTGGTAACTATGGCAACAAAGCTCCCTCAAAGAATGCCTCATGGTCCCCCTATTAGGCATTCCTTTATTCAGCAGTGGACTTGTAAAGGGCCGTTATGATAACGACAATAAAAAAGAATAGTAGTAAATATATACACGATATACTTACCCGTATATAATGTGGACATACGATTAGAACCAGAGTAACTGACAAAGTGCAACGCATCAGTAAGCTGAAGGTGCAATGACCTGGCTATATCGGAATCGACAACCGATGGGTAAGAAAGGTTCTCGAGTGGCAATGGCACCACGCTCGGTAAGCTAAGTGTATGGCGGTCCCTCACTAGATGGGAGTGACGACCTCCTAGGAGATGGAAGTTGATAGATGCAGGTGACTCAGGACTGTGCTGTGCGCTCTGCTGAACAGAGGACTTGTAAAAACCTGTGATGATGATGACGACGAAGATGACGATGATGATGGCGAGTAAGTAACGTTAACGATTCTAATATCGTTAATTACCCCACGTAATTATTTCTTAAATTTACGCGAACACTACAAATTGAACAAACCTATTTATGCAGATTTTATCGCGTTTTTTCTTAAAATATTTTTAATTTTCGACGTTTCGGGTGCTTTATCGCACCATTGTCCCACGGGGTGGGACTAATATGTTTGACGTCCCAAAGTCATAGTTACCGGCCTTAGTTTTTGAATATTAATTTTTGGTCCGATCTACGCAGAATGTGGTATGCTTTGGTTTGGATTTAATTTTGTTAATTATAAGATCCCAACTAGATAGCAGCCATCGCATCCATCTTTTCTATTCAAAATAGGATGTTTTTTAAATTTCAATAGCCTCGCGTATCATCCTTGGTAGGAATCGATGTTCTTTTGTTAGGGTTTGTGGTTTATCAAATCTGATATAATGGTGGGGACGATCTTGAACATGTTTACAGATTGCAGACTTCTCGGAGCGTCGGTGCTTCAAATCAGCTATGTTCTTTCACGCGGGTTCATAATGATCTTTATGTTTGTCCTATGTAAGATAAACCACATTCACAATCTAGCTTGTACACTACTAACGATAAAATCTTTATAAATAGTTTTGTTCAATACTCCAATTAAGCTTAAAATGCTTGCTTGTGAAGTTGTTGTTTAAAAATTATTTGCTGTCTAAATATTTATTGAAGCTTACTAGTTCTGTTCCAAAGCGAAGTCTGCGAGTCGGTCACTAGTCTGCAATAGCCGTCGACTAAGTCCGCTAAACTTTCTGCAGCCTGAAAATAAAAGTTCAATATTTTATCCTTAACGTTGCGTATTGTGTCCAGTACTCTACGTATTGTGGTAGACCTGGAGCTGGGTGCTTGACTGAAATTCTGTGAACATTTTCTTTGCTAGCAATGATTTTTGTAGGCACATGCTTATTTACCATTTGCGCAGTGGTGAAGAAATACACCGTACAGAAACTGCACGACAGAGAAATTAAAAAAGCGAACAATGCGAGGGCACTTATAATTCGCAAAACTGGTGCAGCGTATTCTTTACTGACCTTAATACGAGGGTGGATTGAAAAGTACTCGGCCTAACCAAGAAAATAAACACATACTAAATCAGTTATATTTTTATTTTTCTACATAATCACCATCAAGTTCAATACACTTTTGCCACCTCCCTTTTGCCCCTTCCAAGCATTTAGACCGTTGAAAAAAAAAATGATTCTTCCTTAGAGTCAAAATATGCGTCTACAGCTGCTTTGACACACGTCAGTACAGCCAATACTGACGTGTGAACACGGGCGTTATCTTGATGAAACAGGACTTTTCTTCTGAGCATTCCTCGACGTTTTTCTTTTATTTCCTCTCGTAAACGTAGTAAGGTGCAGTAGTAATCAGAGTTTATAGTCTGACCCCTTTCAAGATAATCAATCATAATCACACCTTTCGAGTCCCAGAATACTGAAGCCATCGCCTTATTTGCCGACAAAATCGACTTAGCCTTTTTAGGGGGTGGTGAACCAGGTCTTCTCCACTGTTTTGATTGTTGTTTTGTTCCCGGTGTACAGTAATGAATCCATGTTTCGTCCATAGTAACAAAACGATTCAAAAAATCATCTGCATCGGCTTCAAATAACTCCAAACAGTCGCGTGAAATAGTCAATCGCGTCCTTTTTTTGTTCAACTGAAAGCAGTCGCGGAACCCACCTCGCAGACACCTTGTGGAAACCCAACTCGTTGACAATGATGTTTTGAGTTCATTCATAAGAGATGCCTATAATCTCGGCTATCTCTCTAATTTTTAAGCTGCGGTCTCCCATTATTAAATCAAGTACTTTTTTAATATTTTCGTCAGTAGTTGACGTCGAAGGCCTTCCAGAGCGGGGTTCATCTTTCACACTCTCTCTACCACGCTTAAATTCTGCTATCCATTTTTTGACGGATGAATATGACAGAGCACAATCGCCTAATGTACTGACCATGTCATCATGGATGGCTTTTGATGATAGCCCCTTCTTATGGAGGTACTTAATGACGGCACGCTGCTCGATTTGCTCCATTCGCGGAAATTATGTCCGATTACTTTGTTAATAAATTTATAAAATCACAACTAATTATCGCACACGTTTAGAACTTCACACAAAGAACTAGTCTGAACTGAACTAAATAATGTGGGTAGATTTGATTTTTAGAATTGAATGGATCTGTGTTAGGCCTAGTACTTTTCAATCCACCCTCGTACCTCTTAATAATGAAGGATGTCTAGCGCCCAAGATAGGGGGCGGGGGTATAATATAAAAAGGTATATAGAAATATTTCTTTACTTTTATTTTAAAATAGAATAACTAGGAATATCAAAAAGCATACTGAATAAAAGTGCTTCAACTGCATTATTAAATTAAATTTAGCATATTCACATTTGTATTTATAAGTATATATTTATGTGTGTATTTATTTATGTTTGAATGAATGTACGTGGGTGTGTGTAATGTATATTCGTACAATTACAGTATGTAATTGTAGCACGAATGGGTCGGCTCGACCGGGGAAGGCCCACGCTCTCATGGCCCGGCCACACTAAGGAGAAATGCCATTAATTATCGCGTTGATGGTCGTTGAATGTAGGTGTGGCCACGAATTAACGCGATAATCTGACAACGGCATTAACAACGCCGTTTCCCGTTTGCCGATAACTCGAGTGGCGGTACTTCAAAGGATTAACGCGCGAATTATCCGTAATGAAGCGGCCACACTACGTTTGTCTCATTGTGCACCGTGAGTGCCACGGGGTTGCACGTATGGCTGCGATGGAGTCGAGTAATGTAAAAGCTTTTCGAGATTGAATTAAAAAAAATTACTTCAAAAGTACTTTAATTTACGGTATGAAACTAAGAAAAATAAGCAGGAGAAAAAAAACAATTTTTGCAGGTCAAAATTCATAGTGTACAGTGTTACGAAACCCTGGGTACGTGTATCCAATTCGCACTTGACCAGTATTTATGATTGGCTTATTAGTTATTATTTCATTAAAATATATTTACGTTTGTCTTATTATTTAGCTTAAACCATTGGACGTCTTTCAAGTGCAATTTGGGTGCGGGAAAACAAAATAAAACATAAATAGATTTACAGTGTACGTTTCCTGTGCATCACCACCATCCACCGTCTTTTTCTTTGTATTCTTTTTTTCTTTGTTTATTTTTTTATTTGAAAGGATAGGATGACAAACAAGCACACAGTCCACCTGATGGTATGTGGATGCTGTAGCCCATTGACATCTACATCTATCCTCGATTACGAATCAAAATGCAGATGCGTTGTCACCCGTGAGGACTAGGATGGAATGCCTCGTTTCCAGTAAAAAGAGTCTCCGGTTCTCTACACTCACCTTATGAAACACAGCAGCATTTAGCTACTATTTTACGCTGGTATTCTGTGAGAGCGTGGTCCTTCCCCGGTCGAAACATTTAACACAGTTCAACGGCAAATTTAATGCCGTTCAACGGGAAACGACGTTGACCGTTCAAGTGTAGCCACTCATTTTATCGCGTTAAATTTAAGGCAATAATTGTTGCGTTTATGGGCATTGACGTTGCTCGTTAGTGTAGCCGCAGCATCACAGTACACCAGCGTCAAATAGCAGCTTAATGCTGCTGTGTTTCGTATGGTGAGTGTAGAGAACCGGAGACCCTTTTTACTGAAAACGAGGCATTCCATCTTAGTCCTCACGGGTGACCATGTATAAGCATTTTGATTCGTTATCGAGGAAAATGTCTATAGGACACAACAACCACTTACCATCAGGTGGACTGTGTACTCGTTTGTCACCCTTATACTATAAAGAAAAAATATTTTAAAAATTGCCAACACTTCTCTTCCTTTTGTAGGGTAGACTGGGAGAGAATAAAAGGCATTAATTTATTGCATTGCACAATTTCCGTGCGAAAGTGTTCATATTATATGGCTACACAAAAGTATCGATAAATTTACCTCCACGCTGCTGCAAGTGATTGTGAGAGTCTCCGTGGCACCTTTCACTCGCAACTGGAGCGCTGCTTTTCCACAGGAACCGCTCTGGAAATGTCATTAACGTTATTTATTGATATTTAATGTACATCAAATGTAGTACATATGTTAGGTATATAGAAAAGTCTTATAAGTTGTCATTATGTTCGTATATATGCAAAGCTATAATATATGTATATAACATTTATAATAAGGCACATAATTAAAATTAAAACTTAAAATAAATGTTCTTTTTTAAATCAAATAATTATTTATACTAGATAGGCAAACACCTTAATTATAATCGCTAATTATTGTTTACTAAAACTGAGTGCCTCGTTGGTCTAGTGTTGTAGTAGTGTAAAAATAATCAATTATTGAGTTTTTCCGTCAAGAAATTTTCAGAAGCTGCCCGGAATTCGGAAGTTGGCGGTGTCTCACCCCCGTGCCTCGGAAAACACGTAAAGCCGTTGGTCCTGCGCCTGACCTCTCTCCCGGTCGTGTCGGTTTACCGTCCCATCTGACTATGAGAGTGAGGGAATAGAGAGTGCACCTGTGCATACATTCGGTCACTATTATCCTGTTCTGCACCGATGGCCAGTCTCCGTTGAGACTGACCGCGAAATTCAGTCTGGAAGCCATTATTGTTACTAAAATCAAGTAGTAAAATGACTATATTATCTCCACAGCTGTCTTTTTGAGCAGCTTTGAGATTTTCTTAAAACGATGACAATTTTACGAGTAAGGCCGCTAATAAAAAATAAATTAAAATGTTTCCACGTATTTTGTTGATTACAAAAATGCAATAACAATTTGTGTTTTTGAACAAATTAGAATACCTAAATTAGAAGCTATAAAAAGCGGCCAAGAGCGTGTCGGGCCACGCTCAGTGTAGGGTTCCGTAGTTTCCCGTCAGTCACAATAAGTGTTCCCACTTAGTGTTTAGGGTGGGTATCCATTATGTTCGCGCTCCAGCAGTGCTCCGCGCTCCTGCAACTGCTCCCGGTAGTGGGTACTGTTGTTTCCATCCAAGTTCAAAATGATTTTCCTAGAAAGTCCTTATAAAGTTCTACTTTCCAGATTTTTTTCATATTTTCTAAACTTATGGTTCAAAAGTTAGAGGGGGGGACACATTGTTTTTTACTTTTAGAGCGATTATTTCCGAAATTATTGACATTATCAAAAAAATTATTTTAGTAAACCCCTATTAATTTTTAAATACCTTTCCAACAATATATCACACGTTAGGTTTGAAATTAAAAAAAAACCACTTCCCAATTTACATATAGGGGGGCTACCCTAATAAAACATTTTTTCCAATTTTTATTTTACCACTTTTTCGGCGTGATTGATAGACATATTGGTACCAAATTTTAGCTTTCTAATGATAATGGTCACAGAGATTAAGCGAGGACGGACAGACGGACAGACAGACATGGCGAAACTATAAGGGTTCCTAGTTGACTACGGAACCCTAAAAACAAGGTTCTGACAGCTGATGAGTAGTATTAGTGATGTAGAGTAACATTATCAGACTTAGTGATTGCACTTATAATAGAAGTAAAAATGACAATGTGAAAACCAGGAAACTATTTCGTTCAAAATTGATGGGCTTGCTAACGCTACATGCAGTAACGCACACAAGAGCGCGTATATACAAATCACAACTACAGGTATTGCTCGCCCGCCCTCGTGAGTTAAAACATCTATACCTAGACCGGTGAAGGGTAGTTTCATAGTTGAGAGACATCTGTTACTGCGTTGAATATGGAAAAACCTTTTCTACTATAATAAGGCCCACATCCACTAGTGGAAGTAGAAGTACTGACCTGTGTCTGCGACTGCTGCGTGCAGTTAGATTTGAGCGTCTGCAACGCGACAATATCGCTGAACGAGGCGATTTTTGTGTACGTCGGTGGCTCGCCCGCTTTGTGCGACACATACGATATATCTGTAAGCAGTAATGTAGGTTATTGTAATAAAACCAAATATATAATAAAATGAATCTTCATAATTAAAGTAAGACATACAGAAAACCTATGATCAGTAGTGAGCTTTTGAAGGGGCGGCCCTTCAAAAGTATGAACCCCCAGAAGAATGACGATGATAAAGTCAATAAACAATTGACAAGTATTGCTAAAAACATATAGTTCTTAGAGATTCAAGATAAAGGACGTAAATATCGTATTCCTTTTGCAACAGATATGGCCTACAGCAGAATCGATTTGAACTTTTAACTAGACTAAATGGAAGTTCATTTCTGTATGGAAGTTCTTCTGGTAGATACTCTTTTATCTTTTCTGCTTTGATAAACACGAAAACCGAATCTACTAGCCGAAACTCCGGCTCGCCGCTCACTTAGCGGTCAGCCGCCGTAGAGTCTACATCACCTGAGGATGCCTCGTGTAGAGGCGAAACACGTGTCGTATTATCGTCGATGGTGTGTCTTACCTGGAATAGTGGTGTTGGGAGTAGTGGTGCCGGGAGTAGTGGTGTTGGGAGTAGTGGTGCTGGGACTAGTGGTGACTGAGTTAGTGCATGCAATTGAGGGAGGACGGGAGGTGCTCTTCAATCCAGGTAAGACACATCATTGTAATTAGTTAGCGGAAGGTTGCGAAGTAATAAATTATTTATATTCTGCTTTCTGATTTACTACACGGCTAACCCTATATTTTTATAGGGGTGGATTGGATTGGGTGGATTGAAAAGTACTCGGCCTAACACAGATCCATTCAATTCTAAAAATCAAATCTACCCACATTATTTAGTTCAGTTCAGACTAGTTCATTGTGTGAAGTTCGAAACGTGTGCGATAATTAGTTGTGATTTTATAAATTTATTAACAAAGTAATCGGACATAATTTCCGCGAATGGAGCAAATCGAGCAGCGTGCCGTCATTAAGTACCTCCATAAGAAGGGGCTATCATCAAAAGCCATCCATGATGACATGGTCAGTACATTAGGTGATTGTGCTCTGTCATATTCATCCGTAAAAAAAATGGATAGCAGAATTTAAGCGTGGTAGAGAGAGTGTGAAAGATGAACCCCGCTCTGGAAGGCCTTCGACGTCAACTACTGACGAAAATATTAAAAAAAGTACTTGATTTAATAATGGGAGACCGCAGATTAAAAATTAGAGAGATAGCCGAGATTATAGGCATCTCTTATGAACGACCTCAAAACATCATTGTCAACGAGTTGGGTTTCCACAAGGTGTCTGCGAGGTGGGTTCCGCGACTGCTTTCAGTTGAACAAAAAAGGACGCGATTGACTATTTCACGCGACTGTTTGGAGTTATTTGAAGCCGATGCAGATGATTTTTTGAATAGTTTTGTTACTATGGACGAAACATGGGTTCATTACTGTACACCGGAAACAAAACAACAATCAAAACAGTGGAGAAGACCTGGTTCACCACCCCCTAAAAAGGCTAAGTCGATTTTGTCGGCAAATAAGGTGATGGCTTCAGTATTCTGGGACTCGAAAGGTGTGATTATGATTGATTATCTTGAAAGGGATCAGACTATAAACTCTGATTACTACTTCACCTTACTACGTCGTTTACGAGAGGAAATAAAAGAAAAACGTCGAGGAATGCTCAGAAGAAAAGTCCTGTTTCATCAAGATAACGCCCGTGTTCACACGTCAGTACAGTCAATGGCTGAAATTCACAACTGTGGCTTTGAACTGTTACCGCATCCGCCGTATTCACCTGATCTGGCACCATCAGACTTCTTTCTGTTCCCTAACCTAAAAAAGGACTTGGGAGGTCAAAGATTTTCGACAAACGACGAGGTCAAAGCAGCTGTAGACGCATATTTTGACTCTAAGGAAGAATCATTTTTTTTCAACGGTCTAAATGCTTGGAAGGGGGAGGTGGCAAAAGTGTATTGAACTTGATGGTGGTTATGTAGAAAAATAAAAATATAACTGATTTAGTATATGTTTATTTTCTTGGTTAGGCCGAGTACTTTTCAATCCACCCTCGTACTACATACACAGGCTGCACTAAAAGTATCGGCAATGGAATATTTCCACTGTTCCTGCCATATTAAAATTTTTTTTAATTGAAAACTCCTTGGTTTTAAAAATCGAATACCATTTATTTATTTAAAAATAAGATTCTCGGTCTTATCACAAGGTTTTGTCAAACTTATTTAGTCGTTGAGAAAATTGAATTGACTCGAGAAAATTCAAGAGCGATAATTTATTATGACTTTCGAAGTGGTTTAACACAAAAACAGTGTGTTGACCGGATGATTTCTGTTCATTTGGTGATGAATCCCTATCCAAAACCACAATTTTTTTTTGGCGGTAGGTGAAGAAAAAAGTGTACACGTTCTTACGTTTTCAAAAATATATTTTAAAGTAATTAATACATTAAAGTACAATATTCGTGTATTTATTTGGTGCAAAAATACATCATTAGTTAGTACTTACATGTTTATGCATGTAAACTGATTTAAAATTCACCACCTGCCAGCACATCACACTTTGAATAATTTTTACAACAGAATGTCTCAACTAGAAGAAATAAGAACTTCTCAAAATACTCTAGAGGAATGCTTTTCCAAAAGGATGGCTGAGTTGGAAGCACAGCTGCATACTGGGGGACCCGCTAAAGACACTGTTGCAAAGGTGGCTGAAGAATTCCGGACTTTCCGTGAGCTCATGTACTCAATGCTTGGGATGCTTCGCAAGCAGATTATTGAGTGCTCTCGTATGGTAGATGTCATCGAAACCAGGCATCGTCGTAAGGCTCTCATTTTTCTCGGTGTTACTGAAGAAGAGAAGGAAGATTGTAAAGCCACTGTGGTGAGCACTTTTCGCAAGATGCAGTTAACAGACATTACAGCCTCTAGCATCAGAGTTTGTCACAGGATTGGAGCAGCCAGTAAAAACCATCAACGACCAATCTTGGTACGGTTTGTTGACATTGACTCTAGAACATCGGTGTGGAGGTCAAAGTCCAAGCTTAAAGGTTCATCGATTGCAGTTAAAGAATTCTTGACAAAGACCCGCCAAGCTGTTCATGCTAAAGCCCGGCAGCATTTTGGTATGCGTGATTGCTGGACTCAGGACGGTGTAATTGTGGTGAAAGCTGCTGATGGATCCCGGCATAAGATCACTTCTCTAGACGAGCTGAACTCCTTAAAGCAGAAATACCCCAAATCAGCAGCTGAATCCTTGGTTGAGGGCAAGACCGCAGTTGTGGGATCAACGAACCCTCTTTCAAAACTTCGTAAGTGACGACAATTGATGTTTGTAGTTTCGTGTGTTAACTTTTCATTACCTTAATACAAAATTTCTCAATTTTTTTTTAATTTTTTTATGTGAAATGTATACAATTTTATTTTGCTTTATTTCTAGTATAGGTACGTAACTCCAAAATGGTTTCTAAGTAGTACTAAGCGTTGTATTTTTTTTCTAAACTAATTATATCCTCCTTTCTTGTTCTTGTAACATTGATATCGTATTTATAATTACTAAGATAATATTCGCTTTTTTATTCTCTCGAACTACAATGTAAACATGCTTTTGTATGTTATATTTTTAATTGTCAGTTGTCATTTCTATTCTAGTGTAATGCCAATTTGACGTTTGACAACTTAAGGGTAATATTTCGAATTACGGTAACCTGTCACGTAGTGTTATAGTTTATAGTCTATACACGTTGTGTACCGATCAACTCTATGAAATAATTTTGTCTATGTTTTTTTTTGATTTCTATCTGTTGTAATACCCAATTCGATACTTATGTGTTTAACGTACATATGATTCGTGTTTTACATTATCTTTTTAATTCATTTTGCTTATTATTTGATAAGTTAGTAATTTAAGGTGCGTATGTTAGCTGGCGGGTGGTGCAGAGATGACGGTACATCTTGGTTTACAACCTAAGTTAGGTACGTTTTAATAATAATTTAATTAATTTTATATATTTTATATCATATACATATATATATATATATATATATATATATATATATATATATATATATATATATATATAAATCTATATTTATTTTTATGAACGCTGATGATGATTCTTTTTTTTCTGCCAACGAAACTGCTACATCTATTGACGATAGTTTTTGTTCCATAACTGATACGCTGGGTGATTTTCTACGTCATACATTTGACCAGTCTAGCTCTTCGCTAAATGTGTGTCATATCAATGCACAAAGTGTGCCCAGCCACTACAGTGATCTCATTGAAGCCCTTACTAACGTGAACGTTCATGTCATCCTGATTTCGGAGAGCTGGTTGAAGCCCTATCTTCTTTCAACCACTTACCCCCTCTCTGGTTTCACTTTGATACGTAACGATCGGGTTGATAAGAGAGGGGGTGGTGTTGCTATATACCTCCGCAGTGACTTATCTTATAAACTTCTAGCTTCCTCCTCGCCCTTTTACTCCGCATCTGCTGAATTTCTTTTTCTTGAAGTATGTGTGAAGGGAGCTAAAACCGTTCTTGGTGTTGGTATATTGTCCCCCCTCTGTTGATTACTTCTCCAGTCTCGAAACGACTCTGGAATCTTTAGGGTCAGAATACTCACATCACATCATCATGGGTGATTTTAATACAAATCTCCTGGCTTCGCACTCATCCCGTTCCTATAAGTTCCTTCAAATAATCGAGTCGGTTGGCCTTCATGTTCTACCTCTACAAGCCACTCACCACAATGCGGACGGGGAGGACACATGGCTCGATTTAATGCTAACATCAAACCCCACCTTTGTCTCTACTCATGGTCAACATTATGCGTCTGGTTTCTCCCATCATGATCTCATTTTCCTTTCCTATATCCTGAAACCTCCTAAGCCCTCGCCTAAAATCCTGCACTTGCGTAGTTTTGGCCGTATGGATGTAGAGAAGTTGTGTAAGGATGCTTCTAAAATTAACTGGGACACAGTGACAGCCGCTCCCACGGTAGACGAAAAAGTTAGCGCATTTAATAACATATTAATTAATCTGTATAATATGCATGCTCCTATTAAAAAAGTAAAGCTAAAGCGGCTGCCAGCACCTTGGATGACAACAGACATCCGCGTTGTGATGAGGCGTAGAGACCGAGCCTTTCAGAAATATAGAAAAAAGCGGCCAAGAGCGTGTCGGGCCACGCTCAGTGTAGGGTTCCGTAGTTTCACGTCCGTCACAATAAGTGTTCCCACTTATGAGTTTGTACAAAAACTGTTGTTTCCATCAAGTTCAAAATAATTTTCCTAGAAAGTCCTTATAAAGTTCTACTTTCCAGATTTTTTTCATATTTTCTAAACTTATGGTTCAAAAGTTAGAGGGGGGGGGACACATTGTTTTTTACTTTTGGAGCGATTATTTCCGAAATTATTAACATTATCAAAAAATGATTTTAGTAAACCCCTATTCATTTTTAAATACCTTTCCAACAATATATCACACGTTAGGGTTGAAATTAAAAAAAAAATCACTTCCCACTTTATATATAGGGGGGCTACCCTAATAAAACATTTTTTTCCAATTTTTATTTTAGCACTTTGTCGGCGTGATTGATACACATATTGGTACCAAATTTCAGCTTTCTAGTGCTAACGGTCACAGAGATTAAGCGAGGACGGACAGACGGACAGACAGACATGGCGAAACTATAAGGGTTCCTAGTTGACTACGGAACCCTAAAAAAAGCGGTGTGAGGAAAATTGGTCCATTTTTAAAACTGCAAGAAATCGGTGTAACCAGATGATACGCAACGCAAAACGCCGATATATTCTTAACAACATCATATCCTCTTCCCCCGCAGATATCTGGAAGTTCCTTGGAACCATGGGTATTGGTAAGAAGTCCCATTCAGAGTTTCAGAGGACAATTGGTTTGGATGATATCAATCAACACTTCTCTTCACATACACCTCTGGATCACCAAACCAAGTGTCAAACTGTTAATCAGATAATGGGTTTACCTCGTCCTAATATCGCTCCTTTCTGCTTCTCTCCAATAGCTACGAATGAGATCAGGAACGTTATACTCTCCATTAAGTCTAATGCTATTGGTTGTGACAATATCAGTCGCCGTATGATTATTAATATTATAGATCATCTCCTCCCTGCTATTTCCCATATAATTAACTTCTCTCTGGATTCTGGAGTTTTTCCGTCGCTGTGGCGTAAAGCTTACATTATACCTCTCCCAAAAATTTCTAATCCTTCTTTACCTAATCACTTCCGACCTATATCCATTCTTCCCTTTTTATCAAAGGTGCTAGAGGCTTGTGTACACAAACAGCTATCACATTTTATCTTCTCGAATAACCTGTTAAGCTCATTACAGTCTGGTTTCAGGCCGGGTCATAGCACTGTTTCCGCGCTCCTCAAAGTCACTGGTGACATTAGGGCAGGCATGGAGGAAACTAAAGTCACAGTACTGGTTTTGGTTGACTTCTCTAACGCCTTTAATGCCATCAGTCACGACATCCTATTATCAATCCTTTCACTTTCTATGATCTCATCTGAGGCTTTGGAGTGGTTCTCATCTTATATTCGAGGCCGCCAGCAGTCAGTTCGCATTGACGAGTCCTCATCAAGTTGGTGTGACTTGCATGCTGGTGTTCCTCAAGGCGGTATTCTATCTCCATTGTTATTTTCAATATTTATAAATCTCATTACCCCAAATCTTCAGTGTGCGTATCATTTGTATGCTGATGACTTGCAGTTGTACTCACACGCGAAGGTCGACTGTATATCTACAGCAATTGAGTCTCTTAATAGGGACCTAGAGTATATAAAGAACTGGTCTGATAAGTTTGGTCTTAAAGTTAACCCATCCAAATGTCAGGCTATAATAATAGGTAGCCATTGGATGATAAAGAAACTGGATCCCACAGCTTTACCACCGATCATTTTTAGCGGTTTTATTTTAGAACTGAGTAATTCCGTGAAAGACCTTGGATTGCACATTGACTCCACCTTGAGCTGGCAAACTCAAGTGTCAAATGCTTGTCAGAAAGTGACAGGTATTTTGCGTTCTCTCTACCGCCTGAAGAACTTTCTCCCGTCCAGGACCAAGACGATTATTGTGCAGACCTTAATTTTTCCCATTTTTGACTATGGTGATGTGTGTTATTTTGACCTGAATGCAGCACTCTTGAACAAATATGACCGTCTTCTTAATAACTGCATTCGATTCATTTTTAATCTTCGAAAGTATGATCATGTGTCTACTTATCGCTCTCAACTCAACTGGTTACCCATTCGTCAGCGCCGTAGTCTACGTGCACTCACTACTCTTTACTCTATCTTGATGTCTCCTAATCCTCCATCTTATTTAACTCCTCATTTTCAATATCTTAGCTCCAATCATGATAGAGTTCTCCGTTCTAGTAATAACCTTTTGCTTCAGTGCCCCCCCTTTTAGTACTAACTTTGTTCAATCATCGTTTTTGTTCAATCTGTTCTTCTTTGGAACGCTCTGCCTTCCGAAATCAGGAGTGCCGAAAACCGGATTACGTTCAAGTCTAAAGTGCGAGAAATGCTCGTCAATAAAATGGCAGAACCAACTTAGCGTTCGTAGTTAGCAGTATTTAATATTTATTTAATATATATGTGTGTGTGTATGTATGTATATATATGTATATATATAGATATGTTTAATTTTATGTATATATACTTACATAATGTTTATATATGTATATATTTATACGCTTATATATGTATGAGTTTATATATGTGTATATATGTATATGTATATATGTATTGTACATACTTCTTATTACACCTACCTCTTTTATCTCTGCACTACTCTAAGGTAGACTGGTAGATAATGCCTCAGGCATTAAGTCCGCCTATATACATCTAATGTGTATATGAAGTTAAATAAATAAATAAATAAATTTATCGCTGGTTTGCTGAATTTCAACGTGGACATGTCAAGCTCGGTGATGATCCCCGTCAAGGTCGTCCAAAAACTGCAGTAACCCAAGAAAACGTTGATGCTGTGCGTAAGCTGATTGAGGACGATCGACATGTGACATACCGCGAAATTCAGGCAACTTTAGACATTGGCATGAGTCAAATACAAATAATCTTGCATGAACAATTAGGTGTAAAAAAGTCGTTTTCCCGATGGATACCGCATTCGCTCTGTGAAGAGCAAAAAGCGGCTCGCGTTACTTGGTGCGTAAGTACTTCGAAAAGCAATAAATACATTTTTAAACAGTAATGTTGTGTCACTTCCTTGACTCCCGAAATTCTCAGTGCCGCCCGCGTATACACTAATGCGCTATATTGTATTACTTTGTTCAGTTTATACTTAAGAGTCACGGAATATAAAAAATATATTCCGTGCTTAGAGTAATTACATACATACGTATGCATAGAGAGAACCTACAATTCAACATAAAAATTATATTGTATCAATATAATTGTCTCACTTTTTGTAATTTAATTTTCAAATAAGGCAAAAATAAACAAATGTATTGAAATGTGCGTATAATAAGCGTGGAAATAGAAATGTTAATTCTAGAGAATAACCAAACAAGTACTCACCTATATCGGGCCCAATTGCCAGCTCTACTGGTATGGCCCAGCCGCCGCCGAGCGCTGCCGTGAACGTTTCGCGATCGTACCCGTAATGCGTGTGCATCGTTTCCACGTAGCGGAGCATGCATTCAACGTCGCTAATATTTGCCACCTGCAATAAAATGAATATTGTTTTGAATATTATTTCTCGTTTTGAGTAATTAAAAGATAATATTAATATTAATATTTTTATTATTATTAGTTTGAATACCAGCGCAAAATAGCAGTATAATGCTATTGTGTTTCGAATGGTAAGTGTAGAGATCCGGAGACCCGTTTTACTGGAATCGAGGCATTCCATCTTAGTCTTCAGGTGTGACAACTCAAAAAATGCAAATGATTTTGATTCTCAATTGAGAATAAATATGGATGTCTATGGGCCACAACATCTACTTACCATCAGGTGGACTGTGTGCTCGTTTGTCACACAATGCTATAAAAAATATAACACGAAAAAGTTAAGGACCAAAATATCATATTTTAGACATGATTTTGACTCTCGAGAATCGATACTTCCTGAAATAATATATGCTAGAAAAAAATATGCACATACATAAAATACTCAATTAAATTCTTAATTGAATGAATTTTTAAAATGCTTTATATTAATCGAGATAAAAAAATTATTATTTTAACACATCATTTCATAATCAGAATAAACTTTGACGTTCCAGTTCTCGTTTTTTAAAGCGCAGGCATGTTACAGAATTAGACTTTTTATCGGCAAAAAATTATTTTTATGCTTAATTGATAATAAACAAAAAACGTTCAAAAAAGTAAACAAACACTGGGCAAATATGCATAGTGAGGAGAAGGGAGCGCTAAAAGGCTTTTAACGTAGACAATCCCCACCTTAATAAACCACAACGGGTTATAGGCCTCGTACTATTATTGAAAGTTAAATAGAGCGGGATGAGAACGCCCCTAGACTTGATGCGGATTCATATCATATAAAATTTGAAGTATAATATACTTTATTTCTTACTCGTGCAGGTTTTCAGATTTTAATGTATTACAGTTGAATACTGCTAAATTAAAGTGTCGTTTTGGTAAAGGATATATGTAACTCAGGCCGCTTGCGCATAAAAATTAAACTTAAAAGTAAATAAAACGGATTTCAAACACAAAATGTATAATCCTCATAATAGCTTTCCAAGTCGGTGCTAAACCATAGGGTTATAAAAAGCATAACTTGACGAATTAAGTCCCCGATTTCAGAAACTATTATATGTATTTCTTATTATTTTTGAAGACGATTTTACTTATTTTAAGTTTGACCCTTGAATTTGAACTACTAGAATGTCTTTTAAATAGGTACATTAAAATCTTTATCTCCTACCTTTTCACTACCCCAAAAGTATACTAGACTGTTCAATGAAAAAAAAATTTGGTGGACCCTGCAGGCTATCCCTGGAACTTCCCGCTAATTTCAATATCAAAGCGCTCCAAAATCAACTTACTTGAGCTTAAAGTTCAAAAACGTTTGAGAAGGAGAAAGTTTTGGAAAACCGCGTTTTTTTTAGTTTTTTCAAAAGTGAATATTTCACGAACCAACCAACCGACTTTGACGTGATTTACGGTAATCGAATAAAAGAAATTGTTTCACGGAAAGTTTTCAAGTAATTTTGAAAAAACACTTTTTCGAGATTTCTTCGTCGACGATATCTCTCAAAGAAATGAACAGATTTTGATGCGGTTCACGTCAATCGACGTGAGTAAAAGAGCTGATTAAATTATAAAGGGCGTCGAAGTAATTCCAAGAAAACTACTTTTTGAAAATTAAAAATACTTGAATTTTTGAAGTTTTCTCAAAATCATCTGAGACGATTCAGTCTAAATTTACAGAAAATCTAAGTTCAGCAAGGCTCTCGAGAACTGATGAGAACCTGGTTTTTAAAATCCCGGGACGAAAACAATAACTTCCCAATTTTTTTTTGAAAATCATTACGGGAAGTTAATAATCATTTGAATCGGTTCAGCAGTTTCCGAGAAATCGGCGAACATACATACATAAAAACGTATGTTTTACGCGTCGAATATAGAACCTTTTTTGAACTCTAAGAAAAATAGCTCTGCCTCCGAGCTGACAAGACAAGACAATAGAAATTCATAATAACATCAATTACGTTCATGTTAAAACCAGGTACTCACGTATGCTTTTGAATATACCTATGGCAGACACTACCCTACCCGCCCGTAGAAGGTTTGCTTATGATCACTCCTCTTCTCTTTGCTAGTGATGACTTACGGATCAGAGACGTGGTCCTTCACCGCTGGCCGTATGAGGACGCTCAAGTCTCAGCGAGCTTGGAGAGGGCTATGCTCGGAGTTTCACTGAGTGATAGACTCAGAAATGAGGATATCCGCAGTGAAACCAGAGTGACCGACATAGCCCAACGGATTAGTAAGCTGAAGTGGCAAGCCGGCCATATAGCTCGAAGAACCGATACCGATGGGGAAGAAAGGTTCTCGAGTGGCAGATGGAGTGACGACCTGGTAAGACATGCAAGAAGTCGATGGATGCAGGTGGCTCAGGACCGTGCTTTGTAGCATTACTTGGGGGAGGCCTATGTTCAGCAGTGGACTTGTGAAGGGCTGTAATGATGATGATGACGACTCCTCTGTTTTGACTTTCACTCACGGCACTCTGTGCTTGTATGCTCTTACTGCTAGCAGTGCTTTGATCGTCGAATTACATTATAACGATATAGGCAAACCTCTCCGTACGGGTTGTAGGTATATCGGATACGTCGAATACGCAAGAAAAGCCATATCACTTGCGCAGTTGATAGCTTATGTCGGTATGGTGAAAAAATCGACATTAAATTACTAGTTTGTATTTACAATTGCTGTTCCTTTGTTGAACACCAATGTTTATTGGAACAGTTAGAATTTTTAGGCACGTACAAAGTTTCAAAGTAAACAAAACAAAAGAAAAAGGTTCATACAGTAGTATAAATTCAACACATAAAAGAAAGTATTGGTTAGAGTAGAGTACAAGTGCTTTTTTTGCAGTTACTATTAATCAAATTACCTTTTTGTACTGTTGCTGTATCGCTTTCTTGAGAACTTTGGGTTTGATCGCTTCGATTACAGATTTAGGTAGGAACTTGTGCAGCCCGAACTCCTTCTCTAAGTATTCTATGTTCGACTTCTTGTCCAGAGATATCTGCATGTCCTTACAGAAGTATCTGGTAACAGAGAACATAATATATGAAATATAATAATATAGAGCGATTGTAAAACATTGCATAAAATGAATTTAAGATTTTATCCCGTTTAATTTCAGTTGCTTTACAGCACTCGTGGTCATGGGGGGACTGAGGCGACATCCCAATGTCATACTTAGCTGGAGATAACATCAGCTTTTAATCATTATTTTTCGGTTAGATCTACTTTAAATGAATCACAGTATCTTGAGGTCTTCAAGTACTAGGCGTGAGTTCTAATTTAATTATAATAAAATTCAAATTAAAAAAACCCAAGTGGATCTACATTGAAATTTTTATTTTGTCTTTTATTTTAATAGTCCTGGAATCTATAATCAGCTAATTTTAATATTATCTAAAAATATATTGTGTATTGTTTCCAATATTCGTTACCAATTAAAGAAGATAATTAACGTAAATAAATGAAGCTAAATATTTCTCACAAAACGCTGTTAGTTTGTTTTTACTTACTTTATTTCTAAACAACATATTTGTATCGCCAAATCCTGGTCCACCATGGGGTGATTGGCGTTGAGGTAGTCGTGTCGCACCTGAAATTAACACATTTTTATTTATTTTTGGAAATATACACGCGGTACCATATCGTTATTCATTATTCCATATAACAGTTTGTGGGATCATAAGAGGCGGCTTCCAATAGATGTCGCGGCGATGGGCGATCTGGTACACCATTTAACCAGATCGTGTTTACAGGTGGTAGAGCCACGCTGAAGTTATATTATGGTTATAGCACGAATGGGTCGGCTCGAACGGGGTGGGACCACGCTCCCACAGAATACCACCGTAAAATAGCATCTCGAGTGTAAACAAGGCATTATATCTTAGTATTTAGGGGTGATACCGCATCTGCATTTTGAATCTTAATCTAGGATAAGTGTAGATGTGTATGGGCCACAGCATCTACTCAGCATCAGGTGGACTGTGTTCGTTTGTCACCCATATTCTATAAAAAAAGATAGAGGACGAGACGGCGTCAAAGATGCGAGACTTCTGTAACGGCGATTGATAAGCACCCCTAAAATGGGATAAACCAATGTCCAGCAGTGAAAATTTTCAGCCTGATGAAGAAGAAGAGAAAAATAAGTTTGTATGATGACATGGAATAAAACTTTTAATGACGAGTAGGCTTACTTGGTCGTAGTAATAGTGGAATGTGACCCGGTCTGCGTCGCAGAGGTCGCGCAGGTTGGCGGGCAGGTAGCGTACCCGGAGTTCCAGCCGCCACTCGCTGGCCGGCCAGCGCGTTATCAGCTCCGATACTGGCGTGTCCTGATGGATCCATCGAATCTACGAACAAAATTAGTAATAATAACTTCGTGTATTGTTTCAAAGCTAAGAATCAGACAGTTAAACAATGATTTTTTTTTAGTCTCCTGTGGTAGTGGGAAGAATAAATAAATACATCGAGTGCTGTGTGCTATCTCAACAATACATTTGGAAATGATAGAAAGGTGTTATGGCCCCTAATACGTCACGTTAAGTATCGTATTTGAAACAGATGGTGATGATTTGACGAAGACTAAATGTGAACGCACTAATGATTTTGTTATTAACGATTATAAATATGTAGGAAGGTAGTTAAATAGAATTAATTTACAATCACAAAATGTACACGGATAACAGGTAAACAACTATAAATTGTACTGAGACTAATTTAATAGCTGATAATAATAATCAATTCGTTTCCACGAATTAATTATGCGAATAGTCTCAGATGAGCTAGTAGCGGGATACAACAAGTGAACCGCGCCACGCCAGAGCCATGACTGCCTTAACGGCGGCCGCTCCGTCCGTTTTATACAATCGAGACAAGTAGCTACCCGAGCGCCACTGCAGGTGCAATGCGCAGGTGTGCGGTGCACGTGTTGTTTATAATAATTCCGACTACCCACAGAGGCGCTGCGACCAATATAAAACATATTTTTAACATTTTTTTGTATCAAATTATTTATATTATACATTTTTTATTTATAAGTTTGTCCTCCAGCAAAAAAATAAAAATAAAATATAATTAAAACACTCTCAGAAATGAGAGGAGGCCAAGCAGCAGAGACTTTACTAATTATAATACCATAATAATTATGATAAACAAAAACAATTCAGTACGAGCCAATAACGCTCATACGGCGAATTTCGTTTATCGATAACTCTAAATTTATTAGTAGTTCCTAAACGCGCTCTAATGAGTCCATAGTTAACGATAATCCACCTACGATATGATACAACTCAGATAACCACACATGGCCGTAGACAACAACCTCAGAGAAAATGACACCAACTTATAAAATAGAGAGATAAAATTATAATCGCTGTATACAATAAACAGCGATTGGGTGTACAATATCGAGGCAGCTCTTAGAAATTTAAATTCACAATCTGTATTTCACAAATTGTTTAAATTTTAAAAAAGTAATAAGATGAACGTACCTTCCCAGTAGTAAGCCTTCTAGCTCTCAACGCATAGCACGAGGCATACACCCGCTCACCAGTGGCAAGCCTGGCCGCGAGGAGCCGAAGTACTGAGCGCACATCCTCGTCCGGAGAGGTTCTGACCACGTTAAACCCACCATTGGGCAAGTGGACTTTGAGCGTGGATTGGTCGCCCGCTGCGCCTGAAATAAAAAAAAACTTGAGTTATAAGAGTAAAAAGTGCATACTGCATGGGCCTGGACAAAATAAAAAAAATCAAGAAAAATTAAATAAAAAATAATTATAATTAAGGAAAATGACAGTTCCTGCAACATTTCCTGTTAAGAACATAGTACATATATTATATTATACCATATTGTATAAAAATAATGAAAACTATTACGATCATAGACAGTCATTAGCTATTTGCGCCAAACTAATAAGTTACCATTACAGCATCAAAAATCCACCGCGGAACGTAAGCCTCCCCCATAGATTGCCTCAGGTGGAATATAGGAAATATTCCACCAAATAGTGGAATATTTCCTGCTTGGTAACCGCAGTTTGTTACTTTTTACTGACATGTTATCAGGAAGCTGCCGCCCATCTCCTGGTTCAGTTTCCACTTGTCGACTCTAGCAGCACCTACAGGATGATATAGGGTAGCAGATATTCTTATACCTTAAGTAAAGTAATAATTACTAACCAAAAAATCCGACTGCAGAGATCTAATGCATTATGAAATGAGTACAAGATCTTTTTTTCATATCATACACGATACATTTGACTAGTATTATTTTTCAGTCGCACGTTTTTAACAGTTCGATATTTATATACCGCGATATTTATATCATACGTCATTTTTATTCTATGTTACAATTCAGTGTATAATAAATCTATGGTTACTATCAGGGTTGCCAGGTATTAAAACCGAAAAACCGGACAGACCAGCGAGCTTATCCGGACATTTCGGTAAAAAGGCCGGACACCCTTATTTTTTGTCTTAGTAAAAGATTTTTTTTTAAAGATTTAAGATGCTTTATTTGTCAAAATATGGTACATTACTGTTGTTACAAAAGAATTTCTATCCTAAATATTCTACCGTTTCCGGCGTACAAATATTTTCAGATAGATAATTTTTCGAATAAAGTAGAAAACTAAGACAATAATTATTATATATTATAAAGATACTTGCAGCAATACTTATGGAAACTAAATCTATATAAAACAATCATCAATCAATTCATAATATTTCTAGTTAAAACATTTCAAAAAATTAAATTCAGCAATTCAATAAATACAATTCGAGTCAAATTTATCATTTAAGAAGTCATTTATTGAGTAATAACATTTATTTAAAAGAAATTAAAATAATTTACTTTTAAAGATTCCTATATTCATCTTTTTGAAACAAACAGGCAATTTTTTGTAAACATGTATTGCCATACAATATACATTTTTTGAGTAGAGTTGTATTCTTTGCTTTGGTACACACAATTTATGTATTTCTTAGTCCTAATTACAACATCATTGCGTTTTTCAAATAAATTACTATTTTTGTGAACAAAAGATACAGATTTCGTAAACGTATAATGCTGGAGGCGGCAATATTTTATTTTTGCGGAAAAGGGGTTAAAGTAAAACAATGTTTTTTATCATTTATCGTAAAATATTCTTAAGTTCTAACTAAATAACATCAATTGAATAAATCAGTCTTCTTTATTATTAATTATTCAATATTCATTACATTATTAATTTGAATAATTGCAATAGTATATATGTAAGTGAAAAATGTAAAGAAATGGTCAAATTTAAAAGCCTAACAAAAGCCGGACACGTCTTTTGTTAGGCTTCTAATTTAGCCGGGCACGCAACCAAAAAGCCTGACGGTGCCCGCCTTTATTCGGACGTCTGGCAAATAGTTTATTTCCATTTCCATTACAAACCAGAGTTACATATGAACTTACAGGTTATAACTTAATTAGCTAAAATAATATAAAACGAACTTGTTTGGTCATCTGAAGCCAAACTAGGAAATTCATTCCGTATTTTGGCTACAGATTAAGCCGCTCCCCTACCAGACTTTACAAAAGATAGAAATAAAGTGAAAATTAATAAAGTGAAAATCTTATCGATTTTTGTCACCCAGTGTTGTATCGATTTGAAGTCTAGGAAAGTCAGTATAATTAAATACTGTAAGGCATTTAATCTTAATGTTTGAAATAAGCTTCATCAGGTGAAGTGTCAACTCGCTTGAAACTCTAATAATCATAAAAGTTCTAACTTCTAGATACTATTAACATTTATTTTACACCTTTTCAAAATATTCTCCATCATGCACAATACAAAGTTCAATTTGCCTAAACCAACTCTTTTGCCACTTTTGCCAGTCTTGATCTGACAGTTCGGAAATAGCTTCTTCGTAGGCAGCCACGGCTTCTTAGGCGTTTGAAAAAAACTTGCTTTATATTTTTTTTCTTTGACTCTTAGGAACAAAAACAAATCACAAGGAGCTAAGTCTGATAAGGGCTGTAGGGTGGGTGACTTAGAGTTTCAAAACCAGATTCCTCAATAAATGCTTTTGTTCTATGGGAGTACAGGTATGTGAAGAGGCTTTATCGTGATGCAGCATGATTGCCCGAAGCACGGTCTTTGGTCTTATCTCACGCACAGCTTGAAAAGCTTTGCGTAATGCAACTGTAGCATACCATTCAGAGTTGACTGATCTACAATTTTCTATGTCCGCTCCGCGCAAAAAAAAACTAGTTACCATTTTTCGCCGACATTGCGAGGTTTTTGCAGTTTTGTCGATAATTATCCTTTTCAGTAGATCCATATCGATGATTACCTTTTTATTTTCCGGATCATATTGATAGATCCATGTCTCGTCACCAGTAACGATTTCTGAAACACGCCTAGATGCCCCGTTTTCAAAACGTAGACGCATTTCATGGCACCAATCCACAAGAGTCTGTTTATCGCTTTCGGAGAACAAACGAGGGATCCATCGACAACAAAGCTTCCTAACTCCAAGGTGATTACGTAGAATGGTATTACTGCCGCGTTGGTCTAGTAGTTGCAGTAGTAGTGCGACTGCTGATCATGAGGTCCTGGGTTCAAATCCCGGGTCGGGCCAAAAATTCAATTATTGAGTTTTTCTGTCAAGAAATTCTCAGTAGCTGCCCGGAGTCAGGAAGTTGGCGGTGTCTCACCCCCGTGCCTCGGAAAGCACGTAAAGCCGTTTGTGCTGCGTCTGATCTCTCTCCCGGTCGTGTCGGTTTACCGTCCCATCGGATTACGAGAGTGAGGGAATAGAGAGTGCACCTGTGCTTGCGCATACACTTGGGCACTATAATCCTGTCCTGCGCCGATGGCTAGCCTCCGTTGAGGCAGGCCGCCGTGACCGAAATTCGGTCCGGAGGACATTATTATTAGAATGAAAAACAACCCTTTTTCCAAAAAAACCCCCCCGCGCCCCCCAAAAAAAAAAATAAAAAAAAAAAAAAACAAAAACGTATGAATGCTCCCCGAACTAATGTCCACTTTTCGATGTCCGTATATGTGATTCGTGAGTCTTCTCGCACCAACATTTCAGTAGTCCATACATTTTCTGCCATTACTGCTGTTTGCGGGGCTCCATTCTTCTTTGGTCATCTTTAAGGTTAATTTTACCCTTTTGAATTCAGCACACCACCTAAAAATTGATACGCAGGATGGAGCTGAGTCCTCTAATGCTGATTGTAACCATTGTAAATTTAATTGTTCGGTTAAACCAAATTTAAAATCATATGAGATTATAGCGCGCAAATGTTCACGGTTAAGATACCTCGTTTTAAAAGAAAAGCGCGGAAAGCGTTGCAGGAAAATTAATGGGACTTTGTTTTTTTTTTAAATTGAGCAATTGGCGTATGGAGTTCTATTTTTAAATAAATTTGCTTTTTAGAAACATATAACACAGGTGTGCTCCATTTTTGAATTTCGAGCATCTCAAAACTCCAGTTAGCGCGTAGTCTGACGTCACTTAACGAAATTCACACTAAAGAGATTTCATCGCATAAATAACGGCGCGTAATTATCGACACGACATAGTATTCAAATACGCGAAAACGTAAATTATAAGCCGAATTTCGTTGAATGTCTACTCAATATCGGTAGATATGTCGATAAACTTACGCGCAGGTCACAGAATCCAACACTGCTTCCTTCTCCTCGCCTGGTATATTCTGATATTAATATAATATGAAATATCTCAGTATAAAAATTTAAATTAATGTCTTCCCTCTATGTGTATTGCACCAATTGGCATACAAAATTAACAATATGCACCAACCTATGCTCGAAAAAAAACTACCAAGTAAAAAGTGTCGCCATGCTGCACCTTGCTTTATGGTTGAAACACGAATGGGACTACCGCATCTCCATATCCCCGTTATCACTGAAAACCATCATTAAGGGCACTGTTATCTGCTGCAGCCTCTGAAAGTTTTTTTTATAAGCAAATGTGATAACATAGTTTGTAAGTGTTAGAGTCACGCTCAGCGTTAGTTAGGGGGCAATCTGTGGCGGGGGCACAGCCGTGCCCCCAGACGTTGTAAAGCTTCTATACCTAATACGCTTACAGCGTAAACCCATATTTTTGTGAATTAACAATACAGAACCGTTGTATGTAGCAATTATCATGTAGTTTAACTTGACTGTTTCGCCCTAACATTGTGGTTTAGGTAGGATGCTAGAAGACAGCCTATACAGTCTTTCAATCCTATTTATATTAAAATAGTCGCTTTTGTTGATATCATAACTCTTGCCTTCACAAGTCCACTGCTGAAACATTCCCGAGATACTCTTCATTTAATGGAGATTCCTACTCCGCGCTTGAAGGAACGAGAAATCTTTCTTCTTAATCTGTTTTTGATTTGTACGAAGTAATGAACGACAAATTTGTAAAGAATGGATAGACTCAGCTAAAAAAAGAATCACAATCTCGCAAAAAACCAATGTAGACCTAACCAAAATAGTACGAGTAGCATAATGCCGAGTGTCGAGCGTTGTGTTGTGTTTCGTTCAGTAGTTATGAGTTTGATATATTATTATCGGGGAAGTAGATATCATCCACTAACCAACAGGTGGATTGTGGGTTAGTTTGACACCCATATTAGTAAAAAATAGCTTATTACTGTATATCTTTATACCTTTTTTATAGAAT